ACCAACTTTGCGCTGTTCGAACCTGGCATTACTGGGAGTTTCAGGGATGAGACGCAGTCACTGCCTGAGCTACTTCTAATTACAATACTGCTTTTATTACTTATTATTATTGTTTAGCATTGCCCACTACCATTCGTTCAGCAAGGATCACTTGGAAAATAAGACTAAAATGCAAAATGCTAGAAGTGGATGGAGGAGAATGGAAAAGACGTATGAAAATAGCGGGCTCTGCTCCGGCGCTGGATTAGCCCTAAGGAGAATTAGATCACCTAAAACCGATCATTATTATTAGTTATCACCACTAATTGATATGATATGGATAGCACATATATATTTAGTTACATTGTAAAATTCGACAGTTTCTTTTTGCATTCAATTCTTTATTCTTTTGAGCAATTTGGCCCAGCAACTCTAGTAGCCTCTCTAACCCCATAGAAATGCATTCTGAAGATAGATGGTCACTGGATCGCAGATAATTCATAAATAAAACAACCAAGCGAGTTTGCAAATGTTCTTTGAGGCCATACGTAGGAACAGATGAGGAAAGAGTATGGATGGCTGAGCTTCTTATGAGGGTGTTTTTTTCGGCCGTCTTTGTCCACTCAGCCGAGCTCAATTCGGAAATGCATGGACTGAATTCTTGAGTGACATTCGGCAACATGAAGTGAACGGGTATAGACCAATGATTCGAAGAAAAAGATGCTTTGAATGATAGCCAATGAGAGACATTTTGATAGGGAATTACTTTACAAATGGATAAGCCGTAGGGAGGCTTCATTCAGCTGTGTCAGAATTTATTTATTTCAAAATATCATATTTCTGAAGATTTATTGCTCCCGTTAAACGAGATGATCTTGCCACGATTGCCGTAAACATGGGATGGCTCAAAATCGAAGTGTTCCTCATAAATACAAGGGATCATACTCAAGGCACATAACTAGTACTGCTGGAGTTATAGACATCACCTGTATGCTTAGGGATTATAGCTAGAGCTCAATATGAAGTAAGAGCGAACCTAATGGTGAAGTTTGGGAAATGTGGAGGTAGGCCCTGAGCCGTGTTGGTCGCCTTCATTCCGATAGAAAGGGGCTTTGAGCATTGGGCGACAAAACATTCCGGGTACCGATGTGAGGGATTAATCCTTTCTTTATGACAAGTAAATCTGGTAGCAGTCGTGTTTTTGGCTGAGCCGCCGTGAGCCAGTCAACCTTGCGTATTCTTTGAGATTATTGTGAAAACAAAGGAAATGATGAAAGAGCTGTTGGACAGCGATGAACTATACTGTGGAAAACGGTGGCGAAAGAGTTGATTTCAAGTGGAATTTACAGAGTAAAGTCGTGGCGTTAATTAACCCTATCCTCTGGGTGCGCTCCGCGTTCGACTTCCCCTTAGGATCGCAGAGGCCCTTTGAATGTGCCTATGAACTAAATATTGAATTTACAATCATCCAATGACACGGAACTTCTCACTTTCCAGGTCTTAGCAAAAGCCTTTCCCATACTGTTATCAACACCAGGGTTGACCACAAAAGCGTCAAGATTCTTCAGTTATGTAATGTTTTCAGAATTTGGCAGAAGAAATACAAAATTGGGCCTCAGAGAGCTTCCTCCAATGCAAAGCAGAGGAGCTTTAAAACTAGTCCAAAACCTACCCAGAGGCTGTGCTGTAGAAGTGAAATGGGATCAAATGGCTTCGTGTAGAAGGAGCAGACAAGTTGGATCCTAGGGAATTCCTGCCGTAGTATAGCGAAAGAGGTGACTACAGTGTCCGGCGATGTACGACCATGTAATGGCGGATTGCGGCAAGGTCGTCTATCATTTATCATCCGTTCCTCCTTCAAACGAGATAAAAGGGTCAGTTTATGCGATATTGCCGTTGATTACTGAGCAGAGATGTCGGAACCTAGGGAATTCATGCGTGGGCTAGGTCCACGATTGAAGTCGTACCATCTCTTCAGGTAGTATGGGGACATTATATTTAGAGTAACAATTGATTGAAGGCCCTTATTCACATTCCACTTCCTTTTCTTTCAGGTGCAACCGTCTTCCCTTGTTTTTTTTTGGGTACCGACAGAAGCCGTTACACACCGCTTCAACAAAACAGCTACCAGCTCGCATCGACCGTTTCCAACCATTCATGTTAGGACTCCTTATCTTTGAACGAAGGCTGGAATCCTTGAAATGCGGTCGAGCAAGACGCAAAAAGGTTCCGATCCAAAAAGGATTCAACAATAACAACGGCACCCAGCTCTCCAATGTCTTTTTTCTGCTGATTGCTTTCCTATCTTCATTTTTACTCCTTTGCCCTTCTGAAAAGACCTGCTCTATCCCACAGAAGCCCACTTCTTTTCTCCCATCAAAAAGCATTCAGGTGTGCTTGTTATTTATGCTAGTGGGGGTACTGCTTATAAGATCATTCAAAGACCGTAGGTGGTTCGGCTCGCGACGAGCGACCGAACCCTGTCTGTAGGTTGCGCGAGGTCCTGTCTTTTGACCTGTGGACAATCTCCCCTATGACTTGGAAGCCAGTTCTACGTCATGTAAGCTTATATGTGACTCACAACATCGTGGAACAAACACAGTAGTCAAAATGTACAACCGTGATGGATAAAATGGCCCAGGTGCATGGAACATGCCTCCCCAGTGATGAACGTTTTCATGGAATACATCGCTTCTTCGTACCCAACTCAAAGGCACAGTTCACGAAAGAAATGGTTTCTGAGATTCCCCCATAGAATGAATTCGAGGCCCTTCCTGATACCATATGTGCCGATGTCAGGTCGAGAAACGCCCTGGATAAGGTGCAATAAGGGGCCAGACATTGTATTCTGTAATGCAACATCCACAGCAGATGAGTCTCGACGGTGTTGTAGAGGCTGCACTACCTCAAGGGACTCCCAGTTGGATGTTTAAACAAGTTGTCATGACTCATAGCGACAGTGGAAGGCAGTTTTATACAATTTGGATCTGATGTAGCCAGCTCTTAGCGCAGCATAACGAATGAAATCTCGTCCTCCGAATAGCCCATCCATGTCATTTCCGCCATGGTAATCTCGCACAGCCTCTATTTCCACTACTTTTAGAAAGTCTTATTTCTCGCGGAGTGATCGAATTCTCTCGCTTTGTTCGCCATCGGTGCACTACTCTACATCAACACTTTCTCTTTTCAACTTAAAATGGGTGCCTCAAAAGTGCAAAAGTATCGTAAACTGTGCCTTTAAAATTGGCAGGCTTGACTTCATGAGTCACGAGTTGCGAAACCCAAATCTTTTTTCATCCAAACCTAGCACAACGGGTGGCAGTAACGTGGCGATTAGTGCCCGTGTGCATGTCTTATTGTTGGTCGCTTTAGAAATGAGCCATAAAAAGTTGCACTGCTCTCATTTCTGAAATCGTAGAATTCTCTTGGCTTGCTCCAATCGAAAGCAGGGAATGTAAAAGGCATAATGTCCAGGCTCTCTTCGAAACTCTTGCAGAAGATGCTATGCAGTGGGTATCTCACTAAAATCAAAGTGGTATCACATATTCATTTTGCTTCGAAAGCGATGACGGACGTTTCTATGATTACCATGGCCAGTTAAGACAATGGGCGTCTGAGGTCTTTGATGTTCAATGATATAAACGAAAACGGGATCAATCGAGCGGCCCATAGCTGTTCCATACTTCGCACTGACTGATAAGGTGAAAGGCGATCGGCGAGGGACGTCGGCATCGATCGATATCTATGTGCCTCATGCTATGATCTAGTGCCTCTAACGTGCTCGATAGCGCCTTTTCTAATTCGTTCCTTTTCATGCTACAATAACTGCAGTCTTTATACTGCTAACCAGTTAATGTACAACTATTATATAAACACTGATGCATGGAAAGTGAGTAGGTGGAATAGGGTCGTTTTGCTCATAAAACTGTCTTGAAATCGCTTAAATAGCTAAAAGGTTCGAAGAGCAGCACGATTCAGACAAATTACGGACGTTGCGGTATCGATATATCGATTGACGACGACGTCTATCGTACACCAGCTAGCGCGAAGTATAAAGGCAGTCGGTGGTGCAGAGATAAGTTAGCCCGACTATAAGCGCGGCAGATCCTGGATTAAATCCGTTCTATTCTACTGAATATTAGCTTTACTGTCTTTATTAGTGAAGAATTCAGTTTAACTGTTCTGAAGGAACCTCAAGTGTAGTTGGAGTAGCGTGTTTCGCCTGTACGATACGGAACTTAATCGATTAGGTATCGGCATTAGTCAGAGACTGCGCTATCCACACTTTGTCGGCCTGATTGAATCTTGCCCAATCAAAAATCCTCACTATTCCCAAGTGTTCGGTAAGCGTCATTAAACCGGCTTGGGAGAACAACAGCAGTTGCTATACGAATGCTTGGACTTTACCAACCATTGGGTATAAGTTGGAAAAGTAAGAAGCATCTGTGAAGTCGTGGGAATAGCCAAAAACCGGTGTCTCCCCCATCTGTGACCTCTTTTCCTTGGTATCGTTTTTCTTTAAAGGAATCCAAGCGTTCCCGTGACCTCGTTTTACTCAAAGAACATCGAATAGAGTGTAAAAATGCTTATAAATCAGTCTTGCCTGGAACTTAGTAGTTAAGGTCTCATAGGAATAGTTTATTTAGGAGTCCACGTCCCTCTCGGGTATTGGGAAGACCCAGGGTGGACGTAGGATTGTGTTCGAGAATCTTCTTTCAAGTCTTGTCTCGAGTAACAATGAGCGCTCCTTATCCAGTGCAAATCGGGTTTGAATGTCGCATCGCTGAGGAATTTCGGTTTTTACGAGGAATCGTCCCATCGCAACACAATCCCATGACACGATTTTCGTACACCTTCAGCTTGTGCTGCTTTGCTGTTGTCGACCCAGGTAATTCAAGAAATTGTCAATATTGATCGGTTATGATTAAAAATTGAGCAAACATTTATTATTGTACACGAATAGATGCACGAACATTTGCACCCGCTGGGGGCGTGTCCAGTAGGACTTGCACGGAAGACTTCTAATAGCCAGGAGGTGTACGAGGAGCTGAAAGTAAGCAAGGGAATATAGGTAGTCGGCAAAAATCCAAAAATGCGATCAGGTAACGGAAACCTACGTGGGCAATGACCACAATCTCCCTTGTCTCCATCTTCTCCGGGAGGTCCCTGTGCACCATTGGGTCCTGGTCGTCCCTCGGGTCCTGAGTTTCCTGGATCTCCAGGAGGACCTGGAGGGCCCTGAAATAGTTTGCATTCTCAGACCTTTCTCGCTTACTGGATTCAAATAGAAAAAACGCAGGAAAATTGAACTAACCGGATACGATTGTCCGTCTGGGCCAGGATTTCCTTTTGGTCCTGGAGGTCCAGGTGGTCCCTGCTTTCCAGGTGGTCCTTGTGGTCCGGGTACAGGGATCAGTCGTCCGTTAGCTCCAGGTGCTCCCTTCAGTCCATCGCGTCCCGGTCTTCCGACTGGTCCAGGCTGTCCAGGCATACCGTCTTCACCAGCAACTCCATCCTTAGGTGGTTCTCCAGGTGAACCTTTAGGTCCTGGTGGTCCCTTAGGACCCATTGCTCCCATTGGACCAGGTGGTCCTGTTGGGCAGATAACACATGGTTCACTTGGTGGTGCTGCAAGCAATTCAGCATCGCGTCCGTTCTTTCCATCCATTCCATTGCGACCATCCTTTCCGTTATTTCCAGGTGGTCCTTCAGGTCCTGGTGGTCCAGCTGCTCCTTGGTTACAAGTACAGCAGGTGGGTGCTGGTTCTGTATTCACTACCGCTCCATAGCCACCGTAACCGGAAGCGGTACCTCCGCCTGAACCTAAAAATGATTGTTGGTTATTAGACAAAAATCTAAGGCGAACAAAACCCAGGCGGAGTTAGTGATGGTTCGTAAGTAGAATACTCACCTCCTCCACCAGAGCCTCCCTCAGGGATCCATTGTCCGAACAGCCAGGCTCTCTTTTGTCGGTGAAGCATGCCTTTGCCGGCTTGCAGAGCAGTCATTTCTAGCCACATATCTCGAGAACGAGCCTGACACAAAGATGATAAAAATAAAAGTAAAAAAGGATTAAAAGCAGTATTAATTGAAAAATAGAACGAAAAATAGCCAAAAAGCCCACCTTGCAGTAATCAGTCTCGACCATCAGATGACTTTGGAAGGACTGTACATAGTTGTAGAGCATAGGCAATGTGACGACACTTGCGATCACAGCTGCCGTCGAAACGACGACAGCGACGAACGCAATGCGTCGCATTTGACGCTGCTCCTCCGTCTCCTTGAGATCCATGCGGCTCTGCTTATTCAGAAACACGCCACCGCTTTTATACTAAGATCTCGAAGGCGTGGTCTGACCCTTCGTAGATAGTGTGCTGAACGTGGAGACGCAGTCACACCCCTATGGAAAGTGATACGGTACGGTAGCGCGAGCCGATGGACTCAACCGGCTTCGTCCACTCTCGATGATCATCGCCAAGTCACTATGGGAAGTAGTTAAGAGCGGGAATTGCCTGATTCGTGGCCGTGTCGATCACCACCGACCACTCTTTATCAGTCTCCTAGACCCCATCGACTTGTACAAACTATTATTCCACTTCGATCTCATCAGGAGGAGGCGAGCGGGATCAAGAGATCGTTTTCCGATTGGGGAGGACTCCTACTAGTTTCTATTTTTTTTTTGAATCTTTCAGTTAGATTCAAAACTATCCTATTAGGAATAGCGTGAAAAAACCTTTTCTGACTCATTTAGTGGTAATTACTCTAAACTTGAATGAGAATTGAAATAATTATATAAAATTCGGCTCTCGAAATAAAAGGAAGGTTATGAAGCCATCGGAGGGCCGAGCTACCGGGCCACCCTTTCCCCTAACCACTCCAAGCTGGGGAACATTTACGGTTGGTTCCCTAAATTTCTCTCAAAGGCCGAGATTATTAGAATGTCGGAATTCTCTGTAGATTACAGTAATTTTTTCATATAAGAGTAAACAATAACTTTATTCACAATCAAAACACCTAACAGAATCCTATAGAGATAACATAGCAAGGAAGATTAGTTTAACACATAACCTACCTAATCAAGCAGTGAACTTCAAGTGATGACAAACTTTGAGCAATAAATTAAGTGCTGTAGTTGTTTACCTAGGTTTTTATTAATTTAAGAATATTGCAATAAAGAAAATATGTACTGGCAGGGCAGAGAAAAATGTGAACTTGATTTGACTAGAATTGAGGATGAAGTGAATCGAATATGCAACAGAGAGAGTTGAAATGAACCCTAGGAAGAGATGCTTTCGGTGATCATTTTTGAACTAAATTTTCATTTTCATTGTCGATGTGATGGTGGTGTTTCGTGTTTTCATCTGACCCAAATCCGTGGTGAACGTCTCGTACGCCTTTGTCTTTTGCGATCCGTGCGCGCCGCTAACGAAAAAAGATTCGCTGAGATGGTCGAAAAAAACGGGACTGCGTATCAGCAGCGGAAGAGATCGCTTGATGTCCGGGATGGGCGGCTGACTTCTTCCACCCCCCGAACATGAAAGGGAATACCAGTAATCAGTGGTTATGTATTGAAAGCGCCGTGGACAGGATGGGTTAGTAGGAGGGTAGTAGTTGTGGCNGCCACAACTACTACCCTCCTACTAACCCATCCTGTCCACGGCGCTTTCAATACATAACCACTGATTACGCACCGAAAGCACCCTGGAGAACTGAGATTGAGCCAGGGCGATTATTTGTAAACAATAAAAAGTGTAAAGTTTCCCAATGGGGTTCAGTTTTAAATTGATAGTGTCTTTTAGCACACCTGCGACTTCCCAACTCAAAGATTGGACCAGAAAAACAGGTTCCTCGTTGTACCTGGTTGTTTATGTTCGAAATCTCTCACTACATTTCCCATCTCTACATCAAGATAACAAAAAGAGAGTGAGGTTTGCAAGCATAATTTAAGTTTTATTTTTTTTTTGTAGTCAAGGTATACTACGTAAATCCCTCCCCTTTCCCTCGTCACGCCTTCATGGCAACATAGTTCGGGGTCACCTTGCACTCAGTGAAGCTCTCTTCTATGAGATTCAACGCTGATGCGAGAAAACTTGGATTTTTTTCATAAGAGCAAATTTGAAATTGGAACAAAATCTTAACTTGCTTCAATGTACCAAGCAAATATTTGAGTAGAATAGATCCATAATTCCCAGGGAAAAAGGAACTCGAAGGAGAAGCCCCAAACAAAAAAGGGGAGGAAGAAAATCAGGTGCCTGAATACTAAAAAAAACTTTCTCCCTTTTATAGTTATATACCTCTATTTCTGTTTCTCTCGCCTTTGAAGGGATGCCTATGATCCATTGCTTGATTGAATGGCAGGTAATACAGGTGGGATGAACTGGTGAAGAATGAGGTTCAGGTGAGTGAACTTCAGTCGAGAGCATGACGTCCGTGAAGGTCGAACGAATAGTCGTAGACGTTGATCGGATAGCATGATTCGGTGAGCAGAAAGCGTGATGGACTTCGATGCTCGCGAAGCATATCTTCGCATTTTTTTAAGATCTAAACGATCTAAAATGTAGAGCAAATAAGTGGATATTAAAGATTAGGTAAATAAAGACTAAAAGCAAACAGATAGACAAATTAATGAATAAACAAATAAAATTGGAGAAAAGTAAAGCAGCGACATCAGCAGTGTACGGAAAGGAACTGATTAAACTATGTTTGGTGACAGAAGACCCCCAGGTCGATAAAGGATTAGACCTTTTATGAAAGATGAGAGAATTATGACGATTTGATGAAGATTCGTACGGTACTCGTCCTAATGATAGATTGATTGAATGATTGACATAATTGGCGAGGACATTGGAGTCGGAAGTCGTTCCTTTCAATGAAAAGAACGTCTTCACTCGGTCTCCCGAAATACAGCACAAGGGCAAGGGCTCAGTATGGGGCAAACGGCAAACGGCTTCAGCCATAAGCTAGACCTGGATCCGCCCTTTTTAGGCAGTGTGTTTTTATGTGTGTTTATCCACTCTCAAAACGAAAACTATATGAATTTGCCCTACTGATTGCCTTCTAGTGGCATTTTGGTGGATCTAAGCAAATTTCTGAGGATGCCACATGCAGACAGGATAGCTGACCCGCTCCAACGAAACTTTACCTCGCCTATGAACCATTAGTCAGTAAACAAGTAAGTAAACAACAAACCTGATGGCGAGCAGCAAGAGCATTTGCATCCCATATACGGTATGGTGGCATCACAACGGTTTTATGGACACAGTACGTAGTACACATGAATAACCGGAAGAACGACTCAGCTTGATCAGCTTCAGGTTTCTGGAATTTCCCTCAGAACGTGGTCAAAGGCATACTGGCTATTCTAATTAAACTTCTAATAAGCAAATTCTAATAAAATATAGTAAGGATAAATTGCCGATTCGGTTAGAGAAGCTTTCCACTGGATGGAATGGAATTACCTATAAAATCATCTTGTTAAAACTGAGTTCGTCGACACCCTTAGACACCCAAGACCAATCAATAAACATTCGAACCGCTGTAGCTGAATGAAGCTCAAACTTCAAAAACTAACGTGAGTGCCCATTATTTACTTTGCTGTCAAAAATGAAATCGTCTTCGTACTAATTAGTTCGTGAAAGAAATATGCAGGTACTCCATTTATACTCGAAATTGTAGTAAACCCCAATTGTGGGATGAGTTGGGAAAGTCCCACAGTAGAAGGCGAGAATTTTTGCTTTCAAAGAATATATGATGATTGATAGATGAGCAATGAAGCGGTCCACGAGGAAATGGAACGCTTATGCGGCTTGGACAGGAAACGATCGATTGAGATCAGAAGATTTGATCTCAATACCCCACGTAGGGTCGTAATTCCTGCATCCAGTCTTCCGTTTGCTCGAGGAATTGCTCAACTCTCATTTTCTCTTTTACATTATCAAACTTCAGAAAAATGCAGATCCCTAATTTCAGTCACCTTGACAAGAGCACTGCCTATCTCAAAAAACCGTACTCACGTTTTTAATCACTTTCAATTTGGTATTCCATAAATTACGCAATTGATCCATCATATCAGGTTCATCAGCCACAGAAGGAAACAATGCTACCAAAGGGTTTGAAACCATTTCTGTAAAGGATTATTAGAAGGTCAGAAAAAACAATCCAATCTTGGATTAGGCAGTACGTATAGTTGCATGAGATAGATGTCGCCGTCTCAATCGGTCTCCTGTATGTCACGACAATGTCCCACAACGTATTCATGTCGAAGAATATGTCACAATTGACATGATAACAAGCCCTAGCCAAGGATAACTTGCTTCACATCTCTTCGGCTAGAATGCTGCTCCTTCGAAATCAGAACCAATTTTCCTTCCTAGTTGTTTCGAACCCTTCGATCCAGTTCTCAGTTCATTTTTACAATTTGTCTTCCTGATTTTTCCACAAATTCTCATGTTTGATCTCATTTTATACACCTTTGCCACACTTACAGTCTGTGCGTTCGATACTACAAAATTATCCTGCCTAGATCTTTTGACCTGTAGTATGGTCCGAGTACATTGCCATGACATACACACCAGCTTTGTTAGAAGAAGACCCCTTAGTTTGTTTTGCTCACTATTTAACGAAGAGACGATACCTTCTATTCATTCCAATCAGTGAACTTAAGTAATCTGAAAATTTACCTGCGCTGAGAAGATTGTCTCTATCACGTAGGAGGGAAATGCCGGCGAAACGTCGAAAAAAGAAATACAGCCTAACAAACATCGGATTGAAAATAAGCACATCAGGCATTGAACTGAAATTTGTTATTCAGGTACTATGAGACACCTTTTTTTCAATTTGGATGACTTACTCAACGAAGGGGACCAACTCCTTTGGCACATCAAGCACCTTGAGGACGATTTTATGAGGTGTAGCTGCGCCACCACTCATCGTTCGATCGAAAATATTCTCAGCACGAAGCGCTTCGGAATAGGTCCTGAAGAAATAAAGTCCCAAACGTTTTTCACCTAAGCTTATGCAGCTGAATGATCCAAAGATCGAAGAGAAGGAAGGGAAAAATCCTCACTTGTTGTTGAAAACTACTTCTCCTTTAGAAATAAGATCCAAAGTGAGAATGCCAAGGCTTCGTTCCTCATATCCGGACTGGAATTTTGATATAATATTCCAAGGTTGATCAGTGAGAAAGGACCACACGAGGAACTGGGTTTCATGGGATTTTGAAGACGCTACTTACAACCATGTGAGTAATATGCTGTTTCAGTCAAGCACGAGGGCCTCAAGCGATGCCCAAACTCCTTCAAAAAGGAGCTTCACTAGAAAAATTGGGTTCACATACATTTAACGAGAGCCTTACCTACTACAGATACGAAGGAAGCTGGTATCAGGGGAACGGGCTTGATGATGATCTCGCGGTGTTGAACCGAACAAGTCGGAATCCAGGAATCCGAAGGATCCGAGTAACTACCCCATGCACACGCCCCGTTTCCTTGCCCAGAACCCCTTTTCATTGCTTTATATGTAGGACTTATCTGGCTGGAGATCCTGCCATACTAGTGGGCGGACAATGCATTAGAGCCAATCGATAGGGCGCCATTTTTTGAATTCGATCAGTGCCTGCGCGCTGGAATCATAACTCCCCTCCCCCTCCCCGCGCATTACCTCCTCCTTGCCGTTCTTCGATTCGCTGCGGAGGCGGCCAACACAGTATACCGCTATAAGCTAACATAAGGCATGGATATGGGTGCCCATTCAAAAAAGCATAGCTATAGCTGGTTCAAACAGCATGGATTAGCCCTCGTGACACGAAAAACATATACATCAAACCTGTGGGTGGATTTGCCAGATGGGCGGTCTTTAAAATTAGTATACTGCGAAAATCCTCTTCTACAGGGCTAATAAAACCACTACCATACCTGGGTCTGAACGACGTGTGATGCTTCAATTAGCAGTACTACGTCAGCCATATTGTAGTTTGAACGGACGATAAAGTCCCCGTAATCGACTCCGGAAGAAGTCGTGTCTGTCTAGAAATACACCATAATCATTTAGTGAGGATAGCAAAAAAAGACTTTGGGAATTTTCGAAAACCTCGTGAAAAAGCCAACTTACCCTAGTGTTAAAAGTCCAAGTCCGATTTTTGACGTCAGCTTTGATTGTATGCACATTGCTCACCTAAGCACATTGCCTCTGACACACCAGTTGGTGCTTTTTCTATGTTTTCCTACTAAATCACTTATTTTCTTAAAAATTCTCAAATACTTTGCACTCACAATTTGTCGACCAGTTTTCCGACTTCGATCATAAAGAGCAGTGCGTACCAGGCAAACACCCGCGTCTCTCGGCATACCTTCCAATCGAACCAAACGTACCAGCTTTGATACACGAACACGGCGCTTACGAAGCTGGAAAAAAACTGGAGCTGGAAAATTATCAACTGGTGGGTAAAAAGTTAGGCTTCAAAACAGTAGTAAGTTGCACTTGTTCAACCTTTCTTTTAGTTTACCTTCTTCTTCCAGTACCAAATGTTCTTTTAGCACAATTGGATTTTATTCACATCTAAGGGAGGCTTCGTTAAGCAGACTAGGTCCGTTCTACCCATAATCCCAGTAGTAAAATAACATTCTCCGAACCGCTGGAAGCCGAGCGTACCCGAAAAGCTCTACAGCTGTTTTTGGTTCGCTGAGAGGCTTGGCGTAGTTATGATCGCCACAGATACAAGGAGATCTATCGTTTTCTGTGCGCCTTTGTCCCCCTTGGTTTTATGTATATGCGTTTTGGTTGCTTACCTCACTTAGACTTGTCTACGCTTTCAATAAATAAATAAATCTAGGAGATACACTTTAGTGTATGGGACAGCCAGGTTCCCTGATTCGGAATCGCCTTGTCCCGTTATCCACATTTAGGCATTAGGAGGGACTTCTAGCATGAAACTATCCATTTTCGCCCTCTTCTCGATCAAAGGAATCCTGTACGGGCTCTAAGCTCCACTGGATGAGCACTTACCTTCCCCTTCCGCGGCCCCTTCGAATCTACTACTCACTGATGATCTTCCTAGATTTCTGGGTTTCCGAAGCATCGTCACCGTTTTGCCACCTCTCCCACGCCCCTATGTATCCTTTTTTTTTTACTTGAAAAGTTTTACCTTGTCATCGCGATAATTCCAGTACAAATCATGGAAACCAATGTTGGAATGGCTGAGACGAGGCGTTAGATGACATGCAAAAGAGAGATGTGGATCCATCTCCTGAGCATCGCCCAGGCAACGAGCTCGACGAGTTGGTAGCTGGAAAAGCAGAAGTAGAGGAACGATAGGAATATTGGACCAACAGGTACTGAAAGCAATGAGTCGTTTAAGTGTATGGGCATTAGGCTTACTGTATTGGGATCGATCAGTGACATCTGCGATGTAGACGTTGTTGGACGAGTTGCTATAGAGGGAGCCTAAAGAGTTCATCGATCACTTGACTTTAGGTTCAAGTTATTTTAACTTGTATCACCTCTCTAGTTTCCTTAGCCCCTTCACCGTCACGTCTCATTCCATCAGAAGCAGTGGCTTGTCGAAGGTAAGTTTTCGGAACAAGTCCCACTTCACCTTTAGCGTTTCTTGCCGTCCACCAACCATCTGGCCTGAAGCCAAATCACTTTAGTAGTTAAAAATGCTTTTATAAGATCAAAACCAACGAAAAAAGATCCTTTTTTGCGTAAACTCAATATAAGGTACAATAACCAGGGAAGACGAACCTGGTTTGAACGATTCGTAGGAGTTCGCCTTCAGCAATGCTCAGATCGGATGGTTCACTTGCAGTGAGATCAGCCATAGCTACAAACATTGTCTGCTCAGCCTCAGCAGCTACAGCTGACTTCTGCTCCACGGGTGGGGCTTCAGCAACTCGAGGGGCCGAGGGTTGCAGCGTCTCGGTTCGTGGAAGTGAAGACGTTTTCTCCGTACGAGGAACCAGTTGAGGTGGCTACAATTAGCTCTATTCTACACGAGTACAAGCCCAAAGTTCTTCAATGCACAGCGGTTGTGGCTCACTTCACTGCTTCAATTGACTTCGTTCAGATCATACGCCCGTTTGGGCTCCTCTTGATCGTAAGAAGAGAAATACCTGCGCTGCGATAGTTTTTGGCTCTTCCTCGATGGGCTCTTCTTCGATCTCTTCAATTTCAACGTCTTCATCCTCCTCTTCATCCTCCTCATCACCTTCGCCTTCTTCCTCATCTGATGCTGCATCGTACATCACACTGGCACGTCGGTCAATACTCGGAGGCAAGTCCGGTTGTGGAGTGCTGAAGAGAGGAGCTGTCAAAAATTATTGCAGAGATCATAGAACAACTTCTAATACAAATAAGGGAGGTTGAAGAGGTGGAAAGGCCCTTTATCTGTCCCTTCTCAGAACGCGCCATGTATCCGACTTCTAAACGGAAATTCGACAGCCGGTCTCACCTTTGTCAGATGATAGGGTAAGCTTAAATTTGGGTCACTTCAAAGAAATATGACTCTGACAGGTGCGTAACTCTTCCCTGTCCCTCATCCGCCTAGAAGGAACCATGATTGGGTAGTATTTGGCTGAAATGACGAAGACTGGAAACGTACTGGACCATGACCGGAGTCTCCTGTGCAGTTAATTGAGCTGTTTCGGAGGAGACTGAAGTTCGTTCTTTCGACACGGGTTTTTCCACAGATGTCGCAGAGCCAACGTCTTCACCACTTCGTGACAATGATCGATCATCACTACTGAATCGATCACGTTCTGGAGCTATTCGAAGAAGTCGTTCCTAAATCGGCTTTGTTTCAGAAACTGACTAATATTTCCAAGTTGTGCCAGATCTCTTGTCAGTCTATTGTACCTGTAGGTCATCGAGCTGTTCAAGTGCCGTCATTCGTTTTATTTGATTGCTTTCAGTTTTTTTCATTTCATGAATTCGGCTTTTTTGTTCATCGATCTGGAAACGTTTTCCATAGTTGCTTATATTTTTCAAAGAAAAAAAGCCATTTATTAAAGTAAAATAAGTAGTAAGGTAATGTCAACATTGTATTAAGCAGCTATAAAAGTATTATTATTATACGGATGCTGTGGAGTTTTNTTTTAGGAATGGGTCGACCTGCTTGTAGAGCTCGTGGCATCGTTTAGTGAAACTTCGTCTCAACTGTTTGTTATCTCTCGTGAGCGAATCTTCAGCTTCCAACTTGTCTACCTGAATAGTGTCTTCCAGTTCGAATTTTTTGCGTATAAGAAATGAAATGTTTTAGCTCAGTCGATCGTATTTTGTTGTTGTTTACTATATTAATCCGTTGCATTGATTTTTCGTCAGCCAGTCATTAGGCTCTATTCCCCCCTAATTATAACAAATCAGACTAATGCAAGTCAACTTAAAGCTTGGTTCTCTCCATAACTCTTCAATTACGAACCAAATATGATCGCATCACAGAAAAACACCTATACGCTTACTCAATGTTTTTGGTCATTTATAAACCAGTTTCTTTGTCATAATTAAAGAAAAATCTGGTCCTACTCAATACTCACTTCCTGAAACTTCTCAAACTTCACAATCGATAGGCTACAAGACGAAAACTATAAACAATATTCATGAGCGGGGGCGTGGTCGTTTGCTGTTAATCGATTGATTCCGGGCGGGAGTATGCTCGGATTGATGGAGGGAGGAGAGGGTGGGGAAGAAAAAGTTCATGGACTTTGATTTTCTCATGGTAATCGACTTTTTCATCTTAAATCGTACAGCCTACATTTACTGGGAACGATCTGTCACAAATTCTTCCCTGATAACTATCGAGACCAATTAAAATTGTCAATGAAAGTCAGACGATTACTTACCTGAGCGTCAAGTTGTGGTAATCGGGAGAGAATATCTTCGATAGAAATAATCCTATTGAACAAACTCATTTTTTCGATGATCAAGATCAAACGGAGCGGTGAAAGACGAGAGTTCAGTTGCACCGGTTCGTGCTCGGCTACCAACTGGTCAGGATGGTCAAGCAATCAACCTCCTGCGGCCATCTAGCGCCCAGTTGCTTAGCAACCTCTTAAGGCGAGATAACGCCTGGTATTAAAACCTGCCACTACCAGGCCAAAAACATGCAATCCTGGTGAGGCTTTGGAAATCGATTTAATTTCTTTAGATAGGTTAGATTTCTTATTAGCATGCAACTTATTCGCACTGCTTCTGTTGCACTTTTTTTATCCAATTATTTAATAAAATAAAAATAGTACCTGGCTGTTATTTGTGCCTTCACCTATGCTTTGGGCTTTCTTTTCCAGCTTATACCAATCCGTAATCAAATTATGCAGTAACTCAGTAACGCTCAGACTATTTACTACCAACGTGAGTTACCTCCAGAGAGCAGGTTTGGTTTGTATAAATGGAAACTGTTTCATTGATTGCAAATGTTTAAAGGAAATACTTGACATTACACTATGTCCACTACAGCATCACCCCTAAAAACCTGCTTTGGGACTTGTTGTTGTTAGTAGATAACTGGACTGAAAATGCTAGTATTGAGGTGAGTTTCTGTCAACGATCGATCCCTTTCTCATGATCAGTCGTACATTGAATTCCATTCAGGATATCATTACTCTAGCCGGTAATTTTACCTTCTTACACGGATCAGACTTTCAAACCCATAAGGGAATTGTCTGGCTTTAACGAAATCGATCCTGACTTGATCTATCGATTTCAGGAGCGAAATCCAGGCGTTGCTATGTGGCATTATCCCCTCCCCTTCTTCTCGGAATCAATCGATTAATGGCAAATTAGTCTGGGACCACTATTTGTGGGTTTATTAATTGATGTTTTTGGCTTATCGATTGTGAAGTGTATGAAGTTCTATGCTCTGACTTTTGAGTAGGACCAAAATTCTTGTCTATTCAAAAGCGAAAAAATATTGAGGTGCCTTCCCCTTCGCTGTTCCTCTCAACTTATCCCCAGCCGTATGTAGACAAATAGGGACGAACAAGCGTAAAATTGACGTGCTTGTTTCACAAAAATACTGCAATTCAGGCATGAACAGCATTCAATCCACGTCCATGCTTTTTAGGGTATGCGCTTATCCATCCGTTAGGTATAGTCTAGACTGCATTGACAAGGATGCAAAGAACCACGAGGAACAAAAGGTACTTTTTGAATTACGCTCTTCGTCTTACTAGTATAACACTGAGAACAAAGAGAAAGTGGGTTGGGTTGTGTGCAATCGGGGACAAGTAAGGTGCTGAGAAAAATCCATCCATCCTGTGCCCCCTGCAGCTGAGCAGCTATTTATCCATCTGTCCTGTCCCCCCACCCTCTACTCCTTCCCTCTACAACCCTCCCCCCTCTAGCCTCTACCGTTAGAGGATTCCGCAACCTCTGACCATGAGTGCAGAGAGTAGGCAGGATGCCCGTCAAGTATAAATGCAGGTTTGGACTTTCGGTCCTGTTCGAAAGTCAGCGTTTTACCTATGGGTTAAGCATCCCCTTGTGGCAGCATCCATTTGTAGCTTGTCAGACAACAACCAACAAAACAAAGCAGAACAATGATTTTTCGATTATTTATTGATTTCGATAAAAGAGTAGTGACTCAATTCGCTGGCAGACCAGTTTGCGACCCAATAATTTTACTATACCTGATATTTGTATAGAATATTAATCGATAATCCTGAGTCCAAAACGCTAAAATAATCAATTCGGTGATCTACCTAGTAGTTAAGCTACCATACCATCGATCGACCTCGATCTCAACCAAAAACCAGTTTCACTGTAAAATTCATCACATCTGCAAACACGTATATACATTATTCTAAGCTCAACATACATATACTAATAGGTGTTTAAGTGAGTATATTTCGATTTTGAAGCTGCTCTTCAATAATATCATATATAGAATCTTGAAGTCGACTATAAGTCCTGCACAAATCGTAGAGACCGGTCTTTAACCCGTTATTCACATATGCTATGGAAACCTTGTTCTTCAAATCGTAAACCACTTGTTGACAACCATGGCCAGTGTGTCCGACGAGGAATTCTGTCTGAAAAGACCGATTCTTAAATAAAATAAAGAAAAACTCGTTTCAGTGTTTCTTTGATTTTAGGAACAAAGTACATCAAACTCGAATTTAAATCGATGCTGATAAGAGCTTTCAGGAAAGTGGTGATAGGGGATGACCAAAGGGCCGGCATCCCAGTAAAAAACTTAGGACAGCTCATGAAGGTAGATAAGGCTACAAGTTGAAGCACAGGCAATTCAGGTAATTACCTAGGGAAGGGTGAGTCTAGAAAGTAGAAGGAGCAGTAATAAAATTGGGTGCATAAAAGACTGAATTAGGTTCCAGTGACTTGATATAATGCCAGGTCCGTCCCAGACGCCAACTCTGCTTCCTGGTTGAGGCGTAAAAATGGAAAACATGATGTATTCTAAAGGGAATGAAGCTTAATGCAGAAAGGCATCTGTCGGGAACTTAAATAAAAAAACAAGAAAAGGACTCACCCCAGCACGATGTAGAGGAAGATAAAGGAAACCATGTCCTTTAGCAATCGTATCATCAAAAATCACATCAGTGTCATTATTGTAGTGATGCTGTAAGCGATTGAGCATCTCTTCACTGAGCAGCTTTTTTGTGGCCACCTGAAAAAAAGGCTGAAATTATACAAAAAAGTGTTCACAAAGACGGGAAATTCCTAGGAGGAACGGGAAACTAAGGAGTGAAATTCTGTTTTCGCTGTTTTTTGGAACCATGGCCTTTTTATGCATTGGTTCTTACCAGGGATCATAACCTGAGAGTTGCACTTGCGGTGTGGTCGTAGCGGCAAGTTAAATTACTAGCAGTCTGCCACTGTTCACCTGCTTACTTTATCGTTTGTGAAACAGTTCAAGAGTTTCACCGATCGGTCGATTAAAGCCATTAGATAAACAAACAAAATCATCTGTTTCTGCTAATCCATAGTAAAAAGATATGTTAAGACGATTCCTTATTGCGGTCAACAAATACTGAGTTATCAGTTCAATAAATGCGGCCAGCTCTGATTCATGATGACGTGAGAAAGAAAAGCAGATAACGACCAAATTTATGGCTTTCCTCCGCTTCAAATGTTCAAGATATTCAGAAACTTCAAGAAAAGCAACGTACGAGATTGAACAGTGTCGCTAGCGATCTTGCATTCCCAATACCGAGAGCTGCAGCTTGTTCAAGCCGGTGATACTCCGGATTATTCACCGTACACTCGGCTACAGCCTGCAGCCATGATGGGTTGTTGACAGCTCGAGACAATGGTGTATCCTGGAAATGAAATTGTTCTTATAAACTCGACAACAACTTACTTTTCGGAAATAGTTTCATGCCAGTAATTAAGTATCGGAATCAGGCATCACAAATGATGGGGTAGGCCGATAATCTACTGGCGAATTTGCTATCCCTGACCCGTACTCCACTCCCTCTTATCCTTGGTAAATGATTATGTACAGCCTAGAATGCCTTTGTTCATAATTTTTTCAACTACTTGACCCATCCAGAATCGATCCAGCCAGGTCCACAGAATAATAAGGGTTATAGATAGATGAAGGATATATTGTCGAAGATGTACAGAGGTTTATGGCAGGAAATAGAGGCTTTGTAACCGAAACAGAAAAAAATCTCTTCGTATTTCCAGAAAGCATACCCGAGCCAGTTTCCACAGCGCCAAGAAGTACCAGGAGACCCGCCAGTCATAGAATACTTCACTTAATCGTTCCCACATTGTCGGCACCGTGATCCGTGCCACACGATATTCATGTTCCAGTGGCAACCCAATATGGTAGTCGATTTCTGAGAAACGGAGAAAATTGGAACAACATAGTAGGAAAATACAATTATAGTGACAAGTCAATAGAAATTTTGAATGAGAGGAATACAGGAGACGAGTAGTCGTTTAAAAGTTATCCCTAAAAGCACTAGTAGAAAGTTCCAATTCCAATCATGCTGCCCCTGACAAGTCCTTAAACTTGCCCTCACATCGCGCCAAATAATCAAAAAACAGAAAGAAAGGAAGAAAAGAAAACAAAAACAAATATCCAAACCCAACCCCTTGAAATTTCCCAAGATTTCAACTTTCAAGATAGAATGGACCCAGACCCACAAGCGTATAGGTATGAGGTGGCTGAAGAGTGGTATGCTTCGGTGGGCTTTCCCGAGTTCTCACGTAGCTGTCCCACTCTACCATACTTGTTAACGGTTTTTGTTTTCGGCAATACATAGAAGCAGTGAAGGCTCGTATACAATTCAAAAATACTAATCAAGGTAGAGCGGTAAATAACTTACCATACGGCTCAGCGATTTCCTCTCGAAGAAACTGCCCGATACCGCGATGCTTCTCATCGGCATGTCGGATTATTTGGTCTACAATCCATCCAAATGTGTATGGATGGTAACCATTCCTCCTTCCGGGTTCCCATTTGGGTTTTTCATTTTCCAGAATCTCTCTGATTTTATTATGATCGGCTGCAATTTCTTCAGTGATTGGTGTGTCCAGGTAGCCAAGACCTGCCTGTTAACTAGACGGTATTAGACAGTGGAAATAGTAATCAAAAGGAGTTTAGAAGTACCTCATGAGAAAGCGCCATTTGAACAGTAATATTGCCTTTTCCATGTTTGGCAAAACCAGGCCAATAAGTGGATATGAGGTCGTCGTAGTGGAGTCGTCCTCGTTCAACCAGCATCGCTACACAGACAGCCGCTACTGCTTTCGTCGTGGAAAAAGTAATCGTCATCGTGTCCTAAAGAATAAAAAAATAGTTTTTTTATTTGCTGGCAGTAGCAAAACTCGCTAAGGATTTTGAAGATGGTAGGCACCTGCTTCCACTTTCGTCCTGCTTGCTGATCTGCATAACCACCCCATAAGTCGATAACTTTCGAGCCGTTGATGAACACCGCCAATGAAGCGCCATCCCGTTCCCAGCCGTCTTCGAAATTTCGTCTGAAGAGAGCAAAATGGTGACGGAAGAATAAGGGGGAATGCATTTACTGGACATCACTCAATGGGTAAAATTCATTAGGTTCTGGTGTTGTTGCCATCTCTCACCGAAATAGGACTGATCGTGGAAATTCTTGAAATAATTATAAAAAAATGAAGGCTCTCGCCATGTTCATCCTCACATTTAGAGAACAAGGATCTCAACACGATTGCCGGTGGACGGTAGACGCGAGCGCGGAAGATGGACAGTAGGATCGGTTTCCTGTAATCGATGCGCCGCACGCCGCTGTCGCGGACCATTCGCTTGGCCGTTGTTACAGCTCTAGCGTTCTTCATTCAGCTCAACCAATATGTGATCATTATTTTAGGCATGATTATTCTATTACTTAAACTCGGCCCTTCTGCACCACACCCAATAAAACCAATCGATTTATTAATTCGCAATGGGAAAAGGCGTTTGTCAAAACTCAGGCAACGTTCATAGATTGGGCAAATTGAAGAGACGGGCTAAAGGATTGGATGCATATCGATCAACTTTCTTCTTTCCCATTTCCCGCCTTCTATCGGTCATAGTTTGCGTTGCACTGGTGAATCCCGTGGTGGTGCTATTACGGAATCAGTCGATACATATCTTATGCGTTATGATGATCCTTGCATCCCATTTATGTTTGCATGGTTCGTTTTTTTCTCTAATCAATACGTCTCAGGGCTTGGCGATAAATCCTAATACTCCCGATCTTACTATTCTCCCAGTCGATACGTATTTGATTCTATACCTAAGCGTAACGCGGCCATTCCTTGCTTATACCTCAATCCTCCCATAAAGCATTATGGTAAACTTCCTAATTGAAAAAATAATTACATTCTATACGGATTCGGTAATCTACAACCTGCATTCTTTCATGGTATTCTGGTCTCGTTTTACTGGCTATTGATTTTGATCAAGGATGTCCAAAAAGTTTACGGATAGCCGGTCAAGTACGGTTACCTTCCCTTCTCGTCCTGGATGGGATTCACTATCATTGTCTAGGCCACATACGCATTCAAAACATCACTGCGATTTCAAATGGAATTCGAATGCAGGGCGTGTCGCACAGGCGGGATTGATCAATGCAGGAACCTTTAGCTGTGACTGGTATTCTCGACTCTCCCTAGATTCTATTAAAAGTTCCACGAGAAGACGATACCCTTTCTTGGTACCATACGGATCATTTCAAACTGCAGACTGTACTGTAAATCAAAGGAATTTATTCAATTCAAAAAACTGCTTCTGTTTATGCTTATCATAGGGCACGATAAACATTATCCAACTACTGAGCAATGCCCGTCCCTGATCTCACCGATAACGGCCAAGCTTATGCATGGGAAAACAATTCAACAGCATAAAGCGAACGATCAGAAAAACAACTAGAAGACCTAGCCACGTGGAAGAAAAACTATTGGGGACCATGTTATTAGTGCAGAGTAGTGATGGGTGCATATTGGACAGGAATGCAGTGGGAACAAAACAAGTCATGCATCCTTGACGACATGTACTTAGTGCATCAAACCTCTGCCGGACTAGGACTTGTTTTGCTGTTGGCTGCGGAATATAGGAAAGAGAAATGCTTCGGCTGAGCGTGCTCGAGCTCAAGTAATACTTGATGTTAATACTTATTCCAAAAATACGAAAAGAACCATAATTTAAGCTGAAGTGGTGGGGGGGGGGCGTTACATGAGGTCGCGGATCGATACTCGCCCACGCCAACCATACCATCCATCGCTTCCGGCTCGGTTAATTGGCACCAGACTAGTCTGGCAGGACAAAACACTGTCTTGAACATCGGCTGACCATTGCAAGTCACCGAATCGGCCTCATACGCATCCAGTATGCCACTACGATCCTGGATGGAAATCGAGTGCGGGGACGTATTCCTCAGGTGGGATTGATTGACTCCCAAAGACTTTATCCTTTTTATCCTTACTTATGTAAATTAGAAATACAGTGAAGTAATACTGAATGCAGTGAAAAAAAAAACTTTCTAAGGCTGGTCGATATTTAAGCAAATACTTTTAGCTTGCGAGATCTGGGAACTTTTACAAGGACTACGCATGAGATGCAACTTGTCCCCGTCTCACTTTACAGCCGTATTTCCTGTAGTCAGCGGTACTTTTGAACTTTGACAAAGACGGAAGAGATGACCACTGATCATGATACGTCGACTGCCTGCTATCACCAACTTTACACCGAACCTTACCTTACTTTGGGGGGTGACTAATTGCAAGTTTGAACTGTTATCACCATATCAGAACGCTGTCTTGGGCTGGCAGCCCACAATGCAAACAAAATCAAGCAAAAAGCGCTCTCTCTTGATCACATGGGAACCTGTAGGTTCCAGAGTAGAAATTTATGCAACTCGGACTCCTGTCGAGAACGAGAACACAATGGCGACCCCTCATTCCTATTGCATGTTATCGGACCTGTTCCTAGGCGTATTTAGCGGGTAGAAACGTGGGCATATCTGCACCTGTTTTCTGCGCTAACAGGTAGTCGGGGCAACCCTGTCCGGTGAATTGCAGAATTCCGGTTTTGTTTGTAGGAAATCATTTTATGGCGGAGAAACTCTGCGGGGGTATGACACATAGCCAAAGAACATCATGATATCATCATTTGAAGAGGCACACTTGACGATTTTGGAAAGTTTGCTAAACTGCTTACATTAAACTGCAGTGAAACGGACTGCATTCTTACCAATTCAATGAAGGAACATTTTTAGGAACAAAAAGAAGATTGTGCGTTGCTGTGCGGCCAAGGGTTGCCCGACGTTGAATCAAAAAACAACTTGTGGGAAAAAATCGTTGAGGTGTGTATGTATTAACTAGTGTTGGGTTTAGTTCAATGGTCAGTCAAGTCTGTAATCTGCAGGTCCATGGAACTCTTCTCATGCCTGTCAAGACGGAATCTTATCTTCCCATAGATAGCGGAGTAGATTGGAGTTTCAGCAATACAGTTATCATGGGATCCATGAAAACCACCAAAATCCCCAGACAAATCAACAAAGGACATTTGATGTAGTTGTTGCACGTCTGGGATGAAAACATCATTGTCAGGGGTTTTTATGACCTTTTGGTCATCACAGTGAATGGGTGGCATCGGAAGAACTCGTTAGCAGGCGATGTCTGGGCGATGTCGCATAACATAGCGACGGGAATGTTGCTATGGTGAATCACATGGCTTCTTCAGAAATAGCAACTAAGCTCAGAGAGCTATCAAAGCTTGCACTGAAGTGGAAGATTAGAAGGACAACGTCACAAAATGGACGAGTTACGTACCGATTGACTTTTTCTTAGAAAAGTGGAGAATATGCGATACATATCAATCGTGCGATGAAAAAGTTTCTTTTTCAATCATCAGCTTTGCACGATGGATCCTAATGAGGCTTTCAGAGTTTATGTAGCTCGGAGCAGCCGATCTTTAAAGTGGATTGGATGGATATCGATTACGCGGACGCCGTTCATGCTCTCTATAAGTTCAAAAAGTGCGCGCTTTTCGCTGATTTATTTACTACCGCGAAACAAAGTATGGACGGAGCTCAACGCTGGGCAAAAAGGGTCTTGTTGAATCTGTGATTCTCCGACTTGACAACTTGGACGCAGTCTACCGGATACTTTGGTACCAGCGGCCTGAGTAGGCACCCAAGAGTCTTTTTTTAGCGAAACCAACCCCAAAGAAGAAAATGATAACATTCTGGATGGTAAGCAACTGTCTACAGCAGGACCAAAAATCGCCTTCGATTGAGTTCGTAAATTAAACAATGTATTGACTGACTATAGGGACTCGCAAAACAAGGAAAAAGGTAAACATCAATCTAAAAACTTCTTCCGAATCACTTTAAAGGATCTCCTAAGAAATTACTTTTTGAAGTTCGATACTAGTTTTTCTGATATATCTAATCTAGAACAAGGTTAGCCTAAAAATAGCAAGAGAAAAGAGTCAATAAGAAACCAGTAAATACGACTTCAATGACGATGTTTACCTTCTGCACCTCTCTTTCTTCTGAAGGGACTCCATTAAAGAACAGCGAAAATCAATTTGCAAAGAACAACAACATGGAAACTTACACGAATACATCTCTGACTTTCTCGAAACCATGTTTTACAGTACCATCGATATGAATTGGTAATCTTGTACGAAGTAATTCAGGAATAAAACTAAGAACCAAAGCAGCGAAGACGGACACCAGTGAATATTTCGCCGCTCCCATAAGTGTTGTGCTGAAAAATGAGACTTATTCCAACTATTACTATCTTAGGTGAAGATTCTCGAAATGGCTGATTCTGATTATATCATTTTCTTAAGGAGTGATCGGTCGATATAAGGAAAACCAGTATTAAGGACGGCAAAAGCGGCGACTCCTATGACTTGGTGACGTTCCCGAATGGGCGGGGCTTCAGCTGATTCTGCTTATCTTTGGACGAGAGCGATCAAAAAGCTCAATTTTACAGCAAAAGCGCTATTTTCAATGACACATAGAGTTTTTCTGCGCTGACTCAATGATTCACTTAGAACTTGATGATTTGTTTGATCGTCGAGACGATAGCAGTTGAACATCAGTTTCACAAGCAATTGGTCATTATTGTAATAAAATAGTATAGGAACCTTGGAGTGAAGGGCCCATCCTTCAGGTACAGAAGGGGTGAAAACCTCTTTCAAAACGAGTAGATCACTTTTACTAAAGGCTCCCGCATTTGTCAGGCTCCCGGAAGCTCGAAGGCAATGCCCGCTGGTCGGCTACCACCTTGAATGGCACTGGAGACGATAAGAGTTTGTGCCCCCGAGGTCACCTTGTCACAGCGGCTCTTCAATCGGTTTACTGCGAAGGTAATCCCGTTTTGACTCTGGGAATTCTACCTATGAACCGAATTCCTTACTATTCTTTGAAGCTGCAGGAGGTGAATCACACATGCGAAGCTCCGAGGATCATCTCCTAAAGTGGACGCTGCCCAGATCAGCTGAACCTTTCAGCTGTTGGGCAGATTCTATTGATTTCGTCGGAAGCTTGAAAACTGTAATCTCCACATTGGCTAGTCCCGATTAGCCATTGTAGTGGTCAAAGCTCATTCGAAGATGGATTATATCATGTAGAGAGCATATTTGCAGATAGATAAAGGTGACAACTCTCTCGGAAGCCATCAGAGAATGGGAGAAGGGAGGGGGCAATTCCGTGTGGACGACATAGAAGAATGGCCTTTCAAAGTAATTTTCATATGTAAGGTTTCAGAACTGAAGAACCTGAAGAAGGGGTCCAGATGTTGACAGGCTTGAAATACATGAGATTTATGTTTGAAGCTGGTTGCTTAGGAACGATCACATAAATATCGATAAACAAGTAATACACAATTCATACGGTCTGAGCATAAATATGTCCTTTGAATGAACAGTGATTCTTGAAAAAAATTAAATAAGCGTCGAAAAAACAATAAATAAATAATGAGAAGTAATAAATAATCATAGCTGAAACAGGCAGGTGCATGATGGCGTGCGGGAAAGTTTCGTTCAAGGACCAGAGCGCAGATCAATATCCGCCCAAGCCTTCCATCCTTGTGCGTATGGTTACTTTAAACTATTCTCGTTTAAGGAGAAAATTACGGGCTCGTGAAACGTTTATAATTAATGGGCCAGGACAAACACTTATTCATTTCCACTTTGGTTTTTGGTCATTCTCGAACTTCGGGCGCATCCCGGAACCGGATTGAAAAATGTTGGAAACCTTTTATTGATCTGCAAACAACTAGTAAGCGAAAATAAGGTTCAGCTATATGGTAATATTAATTGGACGTAGTGATCTTGTGAAAAAATATAAAAAACACGAAAGTATTCAACAGATACTGGTAACGGGTACGAGAACCATAACGGCGAAAGGACTCCCGTCAGCAGAGAATTAGAATAACTTAGTGGGAGCTTAACGTAGACGTCGTTTGCAGCCAAACAGAATAGCAACAGAAAAAAACGTCGATGGGGCTTTCCAGGAAGTAACAGGGCAGCACGTAGCTCCTGCACTCTCTCAGTTCCAGGTATAGCTAATGAAGCCCTCGGGGACGAAAAGCTGTGACGACAGCTTCTTGAAAGATTTTTCTATTGTTACCTAACGAACGTAACACATAACGGCATAACGGCACTAATACTCTCTAATCTTTGCATGCAGTCAACTGGAAGCAGGGGACAATATTTGACAAAAGAAGTGCTCGAATATGTCAGCGTGAACGCATAGCAATAAACTTTTTCAGGAACACATGGGTAATGCGCTTACGAAGTAATCTGTGGTCCATTTATTTATGTGGTCACTTTGTTGTATTGTTGTATTGTTTATTTACTTATCTACTGATTAGCCACTAATTTGCTTATTTACTTATTTATCTGATTTCGTGCCTGAAAGAGGGGCTAGGTAGACAAAGGCACATCGAACATCTTCTATACATAGACAAAACCCCGAAGTGGACAGAGAGCTCGGCAACAGCCAGTAACAGTTCTGGATCAGGTAGGGAATGAACATTTGGGAAAGTATAAAGAAAGAAAAATTAGTAAAAGTTATTTTTCGATGAATTTATGAATGAGAAGAAAGCGAAAATACACTGGAGAGATTTTTTGCGAGAAGATAGAAAATGGACTAATTCAACTGTGGTGATTGCAGGCTTTTGGGGAGAGAAGAGACGAATTGGATTACGAACCCCTGAAGATCAACCAAACGCAAACCGTCTAGGCACCTTAAGCTTGGACTCGTTTTCCATCACATCTCTTCGCTTTCTTTCGAATCATACTAGTCTAAATTCAGTTTAATATTGTGTAAATCTGACCAGTAAGTCTTGAAGGCGAAGTGCTCTCGTAGAAACCAAGTAGTTGAATCGATACTTTGTTCAGTAAACAAGTAAACGAGTATGTGGGTTCATCAACAGATATTTGGTAAACCGTTAACTATAACAATGTCTAGCTGCAGCAACAGCATCTATAGCGATAACAGTGTGGTTGAATAAATTATAGTAGTGGAATACCGAAATTTTTTTGGCGAAAAATCAAGATCATTTGCAAGAAAAAAAAACACCTCGCAATCAAGTAGCGGCCTACCAATTTCCTAAAAACTTGCCTGTCATCACTTATCAGTAAACCACCGATTTTGAATGTATCTGTTAATCTATCTGTTCGTCAGCAAATTGGTGTCTGTGATAAGGGGCTAGCTGAACTGTTTATAGAAATCGAGACCACCACCAGAGCAACGTAGTATGCCAATCAGACCGACGTTATCATTCTGCATTTGTTTTTTTTTACTTCTGCATAGTTGAGACATCACCTGGTATACCTGAAGCAAGCTCGAGATTGTGAACGGAGCCTTACAATGGGTCCAATTAGGAGTATTTGGAGAATTCTAAAACGCACTCATAGGTTTATAGAGTGCAAACCAAAATTTGAAAGGAACGTTCCTTGTTCACAAGCAGAGGGAGAATAGGCGTGAAACGCTTTAAACTTCAACCGTTGAATTTCAGGCTGAATACAGTTTCCCCTGTGCTCATTGCGGTCAGTTTTTTTTTCAGTTGTGCAATTGATCACACTCTTCATAACCCAGCCCTGTCCTAATTTAACCTAAAATGAAAGCCTTGATCAGAAATAATGTGATGACCATAGTTGCCACTACGAAAGGGAGCGGAGAGGAGTAAGAAGAGGTCAGACTTCAAAGTTCCGTGAGCGTTGATACAGTAACCCCCACCCAATACCTTGGGGAGTAGGAAGGCTCGGAAGCATTCACTTCGTGTTCAACTGCACCTCCTTGCCAGAAGAGAATTAGGATGGGATCAGATGTTTACTATTCCAGAACAATTTTAGTCAAGGCACAGAAAAAACCATCTTTTTTTGGGCTAAGAAACAAGCACTGCATTTTCATTAGCGGTTGAATGTGTGAATGTACATAGTTGAAGGAGACCATCACTGTATGCGCTCTCTCGGTGGTAATGTCGCACTAGCACATTCGTCTTCCGTTCCAAGTTTTTTCTCAAAGTCAGCTTTTTAGTCAAACCAGTGCTCCTGAATATCCCGAACTCTGTCGAAGCACTCTATTGCCCTGGTGGGAATGGTTTTTGAGCACTACTGAGACACACAAAGCTGGCGTTTTATGTAGAAGACCACAAGCCAGCATATTATCCTTTTCTGGCTCTTACAATTACCGTTAGAGACTTAGAACACAGTGAATTGGCCCCTCAAAATACTTCCCCTAGTTTGAGCTGTGGTAAGAGCTCACGGGGGTAGAAATTTTATTTCTAGAGATCGATATCAATAGATTAAACAACGTGAAGTAAGCATCAGTGCTGAGATCGTAGGTGAATTTGCAAAAGCTGAAGACTGTGTTCGAAGTGACATCAGTACTTGTCTCGGACAAAGGTGTAGTACCTGACGCTGTTACACATCACTAATGAGATGGCCATTCCGACAACCTGAAAATTAGATAAACAAAATGGCATTATTCCACATATTCAATGTGAACTTGAATCGAAAACAACGTTGGACATTATTGAAATGCTATTTAAATCGTGAAAAAAAAGGAAGATCCTAGAGAATGTTTTCGATTGTACGACAAATAATCAATAATTGATTACCACAGTACCATGAGAGCGGCAAATCCGAAACCGACACCAGCAAAGATGTACGTCTGCTCGTCCAGCCAGGCCAGAAGTTTCTCGTGGCACCCCTGAAACATTCAAAATTTTCATAAAATGCTTTTGTAAGATGTACGTTTATCCCTCGAAATCACAGGTTGCAGAACAAGTATGATTCGCCCTCTAAACTATGGCTTGCCCGATTACTTCTATGAAGGTGCCTTTGACTTGCTAATTGTTCAACATTTTGAGCAAGCGTACCATTAGATCGGAACGTGTGGACGAGCGAAATTGTCGCGCACGACTAGCAGTAAAAAACCGAAGAGCGACGCATCTCACAATCAGCATAAATTCACCATTGGAGCATTCATAGGCTGCGCTCAATGAGTTAGAAATTGGATAAAACGGCTGCGATCACCTTGATTAGCCGACCCATCGAACGGTCAGAATTCGGAAGCAAGACATGGATCAGATAACAGCACTACTGCAGCTCGGATCCAAGGACGGTCGAGCTTTTCTCCCTTCATGTTAGACCGCCTAGACAGTTATTTCGAATCATACACTACCTAGGCGAGCTCTCGTCCCCAGACAGCGTGCCTCAGTGCAGCACTCCGTCAAACACAGTATCGGCGAGAGGGCGTAGACGACACCAGTATCATTTCGACAGGCCTTTGTCGCAGCGAACGCGCCGTGTCGCGAAGATGTTATGTCACATCCCTCGGAATTACAAGGAACCAGTCAAGGAAAAGAATAACCCACCTCTTTGTGCACTGAACTATCGAACGCTTGCGAATCGTAAGCATAAGTCGTGCACATCGGATCGATCGGTACGGGTGCCCATGCACGACCAACTTGTGCTTGACGACAGCAGGACATCGGTACGAACGACCGAGTACCACGGTCGGTGTTGGTGATGAACCAGAACGAACCATAGTAATCACGAGCACTTTCACCACCGCAGCACTGCTGCTGAAAAATAACATTCTCGATCTAAAAAACATAACAAGCGTCGAGGAACAGTCATGTCGCTGATTCGTCGACGACACATATGAACCCAGAAAAGATCCGTTTTGTGGACCATATGCCCTACATGGACATCACATAGGGCCAGTTTACAAATACTTACATAAAACTGCACTGTGTCGAGTAATGGCTTCACCCATACATCACGGTTATAACGATTATGTGTCATGTTCTTCAGGTATACGGTAAGACGGCCATTTGTAAACTGTAAATATTTAGTTTGGTTGATCGTATTCAGCAAGTAATAATGTAAATACCCAGCAACCAGAGAGCCTTTACAAATTCATTGATGTGCTTTGGACACCCATAGATCTCCTTCACTGGGGATCCTCTTTTAATGGAGGATCTCTGGCAAGTTGGTGACGAGGCTACGTGGCGCTACCCCACGTACTGGATAGGGGGATAAATTGTGGGCCGAAAGTCACCGGTAACTGCCCAAAGACAGATGGATCCAGTGGGTGAACTTTCTGTTTCAGCTGTGCCGAGTATCAATTTATACATTCTCTCTCCTCGCAGATGTACCCATGAATGCATGTGTGGAGAGCCTGCGGGTGCGACCGGTATCCTGCACATCGATCAAGGGAAAAGCTTGCGTTTGAGAACTGGGACGTACGTGAGAGGAGATTCCGTGTCGCCTCCAATAAACAAGCTCCTGGCCCGCTTTTGGATAGTCTGGCTACCCGGGGCCTACCCAGACTCCACGTCACAGCCTAACTAGCTAACCGAGGGTACCCATATGTCGAAAAAAGTAATAAGAATGGGCGTCGTTCTCTTGGACTCTTAACTAGCAGAAACAAACTTTGGACAGAACAGTTTTAGCAAAAAATCTGATCACTGCCTATTAGGAGGTCGCTAAATAACGGCAATTTCAGCCGCCATTTGACATTTATACCGAAGCCATGCAGCGAACTAGTTCTGCTATGCTCTTTGATGCTGATTTTCTCCGTATTCTCCCCTTCCTGCCGCACAATCGTGCCCCTGCGCGGAAAATTCGCATCCTACCCTAATTTCTTGCGCCTGGCGGATACGGTAGCAGTCTTAACGCAACAGTCTCACTGACAAAGGGCTATAAGTCATTCGATCAGTCACCTTCAAGCTATTCCACAAAATGAAGGAAAGATCTCTTCGGAATACTAACCTTGTTTCTATACACCAGTGCCAATGTTCCTATGCTGACATCGGCCAAAAACAAAACGAACAAGCATATCATAAACTGAAAAATCCTCAAAACTTTCCTCGATGTCAAAATAAACATGAACTCTGCTCATCGGAATTCAACTTGAATGCAAAGCCAGTTTGCAGAACATTTAGAAACTCACTAAGATCTAGAAGTTTATGCCCACATAAAGAAAAGTGTAGTCGCAAATGAATTCGATAATTTATAACAAATTACCCCTACTAGTAGACATCGCATTCGTTGTACAGCACCGCAACATCCTATGAAGCCGATGACTAGGGACAACCCACCGGCGACAACCGCAATGTAAGCTGCGAAGGTCTGAAAAGATTGAAAGGAACAATAACAAGTGACACGCTACCACTCGCAGGATATGGAGATCGAATCACGAATGGGTACCCACTCTGGCTGGGGGAACCTTTCATCTCTCCGAGGTCGCCCATTGGTATCGGACTCGTCTGAGGATGAAAGCTGGATTTGTACAGTAGCCGGCCACCGCAACTCATGGTATAGGACACATATGTACGTTCTCAAATGCCACCACGATTCTAATTCAAAGTCAAGTGTGGGGTGCATGCCAAAAAGAGGGTTGATCAATATCGAAAACTCCTCTATCCTCTCACGAGTTTTGTGTCATGGCTAGACATCACTTCACCCAGGCCTACCATTACCTTTCCCATGTCCCCCTCTAACAATAAGCCTGATAGCTTGATAGGCAAATTCCATCGGTTTGACGTTGCTCAAATGATAGTGTCTATTAGTATGAGCCCAAAAGAGGTTCTACAAAACCAGGGTGCGAGCTCTAAAGCTGGCTGATATTTTTATGCTAGTTTCTTTGAATCTTCATAAACAGACTCTATATGATGCCTGAGAGCTCAGAGAGACTTCTCAAAAATCTTCTAGCAGCATTGGACCTTTCTTTAAAAAAAGGCTGGAAACTCACCAACAACGGGTCATCTTCAGAGAAATTTACGAGGTCCAAAATATAATTTCGCTTTGGATCCAATAACATCCACAGTCCAATGAATAGCAAAGCCAATCCAGACACCCAAAACAGTAATGTATAGATTATCAAAGCGACCTTGACAGCATCTCCGCCCGTCCGCTGAATGGTCATCCTGAATCAGCGCAATCTAGGGAAGACGACTTTTTTTTTTGAGACTTAAGTTCCCAAAAGCAAGCGAATGGATGGAAAAAAGTAAAACAAAAGCTTAGGGAAGAAAACCAATCAGAACACTACAGAGAATAGGCGGAACACGATCATATAGGAACCTAATGAATCCTTAGAGACGAACACTCACCTACGACGTGACATGGTCCACGACGACACTAAAAATGCTATGCAAACAGATGCTGATTCAACAAATCGATACCAACCATGTACCCATCAATACTCCCGTAGCATCACTCCAAGCAGGTGGCCCCAGATAAGCATAGGGAACCCTTCGATTTTTTTTCTGAGTGCATTCTCGTGAAAAAAACCTATTCTCTACATGCTCAAATGAATTTTTGAACAAATAATAAGCAGAATAGAAGTCAGGGTTTAGGTGGAGCCTCGTGCTGTTCCCTGGGTGGCCTGGTTAGCGTGGTGCTAAAATGTCGACCTGGTACTGGTTGCAATCTGGGTGTGCCTCATAGTCTCAAACGAGACCGCTTCACACCCCAAGGTGGCTAATTGAGTGACAGGTGGAGTAATGGGTGAATAATGTGCCTAAGGAACAACTTAGAATTCCCAGGGTGATTGTTAGGATAGTCAGTTTTGGCAGTGCCAGTAAGGGGTTCAATCATCCAGGGCTAACCTGGGAGAGTTTCAGCCTGCCCTAGAAATAGTGAACTTGCCGTTCCTTTCACCTGTTTGCAAGCTTGTGCCACACGACAGTGGTAATGAGCTCGAAATAGATAGGTGACCAACAAAAACAGCAAATTCTTAGATTCCAAAAATCATGAGAGTTTCTGGAGCCCATAGATAACGCAGCAAAATGCTGAATCGCTGGCCTCCTTGGTCGTTTCCAAGGGCTGCCATGGAACTGCCACATAACTACGTGGCAATTCTTGCCAAAGTCATCAAATTTATTTATGAAAATACCTAAAACCCCAGATTAGCCTAGCAAACTCAAATTTATGACATGGCCATTGATGCTTTCGCACAACATAGGATACCAAAGTGAATTTTTTTCCTGAAATGATCATATTTTCTGGTAGTTAAGGTCATGTTTAATCCAATCTCTTCCAGCACCATAACAATCTGCATCTTTTCTAACCTCTTCATAATGGGATCTTCTGAAAAAAATGATCCTGCAATGTTTCTACTGCCAAAAAACTGGAAGATATATGAATTTTATTATAATTCTCCCAAACTGATAGATAATTTAATGAATAAAATGTAGAAAATGTGCGCTGAAAAACTCGCTTCTGCCTAGAAAGGAGTGTTTCCTATCTGGCCTGTAGCTATCCTGCAACGTTGAGATTCAGTGTGCAACTGATGTCCTCATCTACATTATCCAATCCTTACTCTGTAGCTTTACTACTCGTAAAAATCGCCGTTTTGTCGAATAGTACGCGATTACTTTCTACAAAGAGTATTAATCATTAATTACATCTCTATGCACTACAAATGGTGAACTCGTCAGCTTTATTCACATCACAACATGGATAACAATTCAAACGTAACAAGTAACTACATCAGCAACAACTAATACACATATCTGACAAACAAAAAATAACAACATATCAAATGAGAAGTTTCTCAACATCCTCTTTGAGTTTTTGAATCTGAGATTTAAGCTGAGATCCTTCATTCTGAGTAATGGATACGGCAATAACTGGGCGAGTGACACCACAAGCACGTCCGAGAGCAGCCTTGCTCCTCACAAACACGTACGGGACGTTCTTATCCTCACAGAGAAGAGGCAAATGTAGGATAATTTCAAGCGGTTCAGCATCAGCCGCCATAATAATTACCTAGAAACGATTGAAATCATTATAAATTCAAAGCTTAATTCATCAGTGATGTACCTCGGCAATTCCTCTGTTCAGTGTCTTGGTCGCCTCGTTAGCGCCTTTCTTAAGCTGTTTGTAATTCATAGCTTGCTGTACAAGATCCAGAAGTTTCTGAGAAAGTTGTGTATCAGCGAGCGGATAGGCCTTCGGATTGACTCCATCATCGGCCATTTTTGTATTCTTTCTAAATATGCCACCAATTAAAAAGTATGCATGTTTTGAGAATTGAATCAACCACTGTCAACTTGAGACGAAACAAACAGGAAGTAGCTGCTGAGAATGGAACTGCAAACTTTTCTAACACCTGCCTCCTAACTATTAGAATTAAGAAACAGTTAAATAAAGCCATGACACATCACAAATCTGTGCAAAGGTGCAGTTAAAGACTTTAGTCATAGAGGTTACACAATGTGGAAGGTAAGGCAGAGTAAAAAAAAGAGAAACAAAACAAAGACAATAGAGCCGGAATTCAAATGGTTCGAAAATATCCCGAATAAAAAAAAGCAGATAAGATTTAGGATGGTGGTCCGGCGAGGAAAAGTTTACGGTTCTTATAATTGATGTATGTTATATGCCGCTTTCTGCATCTCGCGTACGCCACACTCCTGTTCACGTCATTGTGGTGGCACGGCTTGCGTGTTACCCACGTTTCTCTTATATGTCGATGCTTTTGTTTCTATGCCAATCTTCAGTGATTACTATTCTTATAAAGTAATCCCCAGCTGCGGGTGAGCAAGTAGAGCAGCAAAAGAAGGGTGCTGTTGCTTTCTAGGAGAAGGTCTTTGCAAAGTTTGTGTTTTGACTGAAGATTAGTATTGTCGAGTGAAACGTCATTATCACCTATGCTTGCTTGCATCCCTATAAGTGACTAACTCAAAGCGCCGAATCTACAGCTATTGCTTATTAATAATGAAGAAGAACTACAGTATAGAACTTGCAGTTGTAAGAGTCCATAGCCGTAGAAGTATCGAGTGACGTGATTCCTTTTGTTCGGTTATCTAGCTTAAAAATGAAGCATTTCCATATCACACAGGCCATCAAGTGGTTTTCGAAAAGGCAAAGAACTAGCGCGTAGTTTGCGAAGCTCAGATAATGTCTTGTATATGACGCCGCTCTCCCCTTAATAACGGGGTTTCAACTTGGGTGACTCCATGTTTCATATCACCCTGTCATTTTTTTTTTCATCGCCTCCCGAATCGTGATCTTCATGTTGCGTAGATATTGTGTGTAGTACTTGCACTGTTTTCAGGTCAAAATGGGGGCGGATACTAAGAAAGAAAAGATTAAAATCCTCCAAGTTTCAAACATATCTGTGACTGCCACGAAAGATCAAATCTTTACGATGTTCCAGTACATTGGGCGTATTGAGGAGATGAAGGTGAGGCCTTAAGCTAAGAACCTTTCTCAATAATCATAAATTTGGTCTTGTAGGTTGGAGCGCGTTACGATTGAGATTTTGCGAATATATGCGTTCATTTTCTATTCATTTTATTCTTACATCATGTGAAAGCTGCTGTCAGATTGGGAATTTATTCGCTTTCCTAAGAAAACAATCAAAAAGGAATAATAGCAGCAATCCACAGAATCTGAACTGGGGAAACGCTGACCTGCAGAAATATGACTGAACTCTGAAACATTGATGAGAATACCACTTTACACAATTGCGGCTGAACCTCTTTGTATTCTTCTCACTCATAGAGAGCTTAGAAAATTTCTGAACTCACATGCAGTTTTTTAGGTATACCCTACTGATCTGAACATAACTTCATCAACAGTTTCGAAGTGTGCCTTTATAAAGTATGATGATGAGCGCGCCGTGGAAGTTGGACAGCATTTGACAAATACAGTTCTTATTGATCGAGCCATAGTTTGTGCTCCATACCTGCAAAGTAAGCCTTCCGTTCCTGGTCTTTTGCTTCTTCTCCACAGCCCTTATAATGATCACATTGTTCAGGTGTCATTCCTGATGAAGCTACGTTCACGAGCACTGGTGGACCGGTTACTGCAGGACAACGCCAGCTGCCTCCGCATGTTGTGAACAAAGTTCAGGAGTTAGAGGATGGCTCCTCTGTGGTAATGATTTAATGTTTTGAATAACATCGACCATGACTCTCGAAAATTCGTCGTCATCTTTATACGTACTTTGTAATTTTCCAGAACTGTGAGCGGCAAGCAGGCGCATCCATCCAGTGTTGACCCTACCAGTACTAGCTAAAATTTGGTTTTATGCTGTTTAGGAAACTTTGAAGCTTGATTTATCCTTTTAGGTTGAGTGACTAATGGACATTTATATACAACAGACTAATGTTTTTAAAATTATATTTTCATATTTTTTTCACGGCTCTTATTCACATCTAAATTGTTCCATCTATTTCAGTTGCTTACAGTGGATCCACAAATGGAAGCGCTTGGACTTCCATCTTATCCACCTCTTCCTGGCAATACTGACTTGGCGAAAGTGGAAGAAATCAGAAGGACCATTTACGTTGGAAACTTGCCAAAAGGTGTTGACGGGCAAGCCGTTCTTGAATTTTTCAACAGCTACGTGGGGGAGGTGAATGCTTTGTGATTCCAAATACTTACATATATGGCCCTCGTATTGAGTTAAGCTTATTGTTGTAGGTGATGTACCTCCGTATGGCAATTGCCCCTGACACGTTACCCTGTGCGTATGCTTACGTTGAGTTCACAAACCAAACATCCGTGCCGATTGCTCTTCAGAATAATGGCATTGATTATCAAGGACGACCGTTGAGGTGAGCGTTGTGGTGTATTTTCGAAAATAAATCTTGGCAATTCGTCTTACCGTGACATGCATGAGGTCCAGTTGTTTTTATATCAGTCCTAGTTCACCACTTGTCATCTGCACTTTTATTTTCGACTCTGCATTAGCGTAAAGTCCACTACAAATAAAATGTAGTTCGGGTGATCACTGAGGGACGCTTATGTTGGAAATTTCGTCTGGGTATCCAAGGGTATCATTTTTGAAGCATGACGTTTTCACAAATGTATTTTGCGATATTGAATGTAGGCGTTATTTTTTTTCCTTATTCCAGTCAAATTTTTCGGCTCTGGAACTTCCTCTGGAGGTAAACAGCGATGTTTCTTGCTATGTTCCTTCCTCGAAGAAAAAAAAAGAGAAATCGGGAGTAGTTTCGGTAGGAGGAAATGATTGGCAGTATGCTGCCATTTTGGTATAGCTTGTAAGGAGGTAAAAAGTTTGCTTTTAGTGCCATACATTTAAGTGGACCTGCGTTTTTCGCCACATTTCGAAAGGGCGAATTACCTTTTTTTTTGTCTCGATAACACAAGTTTCGAGTACTGTGCTCTCATTAATTTTTTTCAGAATTCAACACTCTAGAGTGGCAATAATCAAGCCGCAGGCAAAGTCCGCTGATCAGGCATTAGAGGAGGTCGAGGAAGCTATTCGAATGGGAAAAAGTGGGCATTTTTTTCGTTTTTTTTTTTGTGCTCGCGACTTTACACTAACATACCTCGCTTTACATCAACCTCTTAGTTCATTGCTTTCAACAATCACTCTCTCAGATGGACGCTCACGCTCACGCTCGCCTCTGCGTCGTCGCCGCACTCCTTCGCCATCGCCTCGTCGGAGAAGCCGAACCCCTAGACGTCGAAGAAGTCGTTCCCGATCGAAATCACGTGATCGACGACGAAGTAGAACTAGATCTCGAGATCGTAAAAGGAGCCGTTCACGGGATAAGAAGCGTAGTCCGAGCAGAAGACGGAGAAGTCGGAGTCGGTATGTTCATTATGCGACGTAGTACGAAATGGAATTGCTTTTGAGGTCTCTGCAGCGTCCTTAATCGTTAAAATCCTACAAGAGCTTTATCGTTGGAATAGCATAAGCGAATTAAAACATCTCAAAATTTTTCTCTCCTTCTATTTTTCGCTGTTTAGTGATCGTCGCAGACGCTCTCGTTCTCGTGAGAAGAAACGCGACCGCAGCCGATCGAGGGACAGGAAAAAGGACAAGGAAAAGGAAAAAGACAAAAAAGAAAGGAAGCGAAGCAGAAGCCGTGATAGAAAGAAAGATAAGGATAAAGATAAGGTTTGCTCTATGCGGTATTTATTCAAAGGGCCAAGCATGTAGGTACATCTATATTTATAGGAAAGTAAACGAGATCGCAGTTCCGATCGAAAAAAAGACAAGGATAAGGATAAAAAGGAGAAAACGAAGGTATTTATTTCGTAGCTCTCACCATATTCATCAGATAAGAGTAGTCTTTTTTNTTTTTTAGGAAGCAAAGGTAGAGGAGCTCGATGAGGAAACACTGCGAGAGCGGCTACTCGAAAAAGCAGCCGTAAGGAGTGGGAAGGACGGGTATGTTGCCGCTATCAAAGTGAATTGAATTTCCTCAGGTGAAGGGCTTATTTTCCAGATCTGAGAGCGAAAGTGACGTGGAGAAAAGCGAAGACAAGACTCCAAGCAGGATTAAGAACGAAAGGAAAAGAAGGCGCAGTGAGAGCGATTGAGTAAAAGTTGTTCCTCCGTCTCGATGGATTTACCCTTTGGTCGTTATGTTGCAGGCTTGTTGAAATCTTTTCGAACTGTGGTTTACATTCATTAGTTATTTATTTTGGATCTCTGTTTCTGTTATATTTTATTTTTTCTTCGTAGCTGTAGTAGTTTATTAAAGTAAAAAAGGTTTTCTGTGTAAGGACAGTGGGTATGGTAACCTTGTTCCGTGTAGTGCCCTTATGAAGAAACTGTAGGATGTGAGTGTGGAGTGCATCCATCCTCAGGCTCTCATAGGAGTGAGTGGCAATGGGTGTCAGGTTCGTTTATATTTTATCGGCTTCAAAACATCACTTTTTTGCCTCTGTTTTCGTCAGCGAAAATCCTTCGATCCATATTTTGCTTAACCAACAGTCTGTCAATTCCTGGCATGAGACCCTACCTATTTCAATCTACTGTTACCTTATCAGTGCTTTACGCAAACAACTACTATATCGTACCCACTGTTTACAAGTGAACATCGTTCCGGTGCCGCTGTAATCTTCTTGCACAGTTTGGTTCTCCTCTCTGTATACCCAGAAGTTGCAAGACATTTTGGCTGAACATGCGTTGTTACTGGTTCCTCTTTTTCTGATTCTGTTCAAATAAAGTTCTCATGATTTTTGTGTGGCTGATGCACGGAAGTATGACATTGCCGTTTCGCGAAAAGTTGAGTCGTACTATTTCTTTTACCATACAGTAAACTTTAGGTGATAGATAGTGATGCTAGCCCTTCGCAGTGGAATTTTTTTCTCTCGTCGGATATGTGCCAAACAAATAGTTTATTCCGAATATGGAGATCCTGTCAAGGTAAGATAAAGAACCAACATTTGTTACCTTGGTGTGGGTGGTTTCGACGTGTGACATTTTTTAAATTCTAACCAACTTAACTTAGGTAACAAAATTGAAAACCGTTGATCTTCCTGACACTCCTCCTGCTGGACATGTACGTGTGAAGTGGCTAGCAGCACCGATCAATCCAGCAGATCTGAACACGCTACAAGGGGTTTATCCGATAAAACCACCTCTTCCAGCAGTAGGAGGAAATGAAGGTTGTGGCCGCATAGAGAAGGTATGCCCTATCAATGTTTGAAAGCAATACTCGCTTGATGAACCACTTTTGCACTGACTAAAAATCATTCTTAAGATACTTCATGTGAATTTGATTTTCTTTTAAAATATACTACTATTATAGCAATCTTCGTAGCAGGTAGCGAAAGCCATTTCCGGGTAGAGCAGGTATGTAATCTAGTTACCTCAGTTCGGTTTTAGCCCGGTAAAATTCTTCAAGAACTCCTTGGTTGGTGTAGTCTAAAAATCTTTGCAGCTTTCCCTGTGAGCGTCACATCACATCGTTTAAAGTTTTATTCCTATTTTTTGAATTCAAAATGACTTTGTACGATATTTTAAAATGGTTTCATATAAGGACTACGTAATAGTTTAAAGACTTTCAGACGTATTCAAGGATTCTGCAATGTTCACTACTGCCTGAGTAATTGCTCTTTTCAGGTTGGGGAAGGAGTTAAAAATGTACATGTTGGTGATCATGTTCTACCAGCAAATGATGGTCTAGGAACCTGGAGGAGCCATGGTCATTACAAAGAATCGGAAGTGTTCCCGATAGACAAAGATTTACCGATCGAAGCAAGCGCAACTTTGCAGGTTCACCATTTGAAATGAAAGTTTCTCTACTAACAAAGTCAATGTGACCATTCCAGATTAACCCCCCAACTGCCTATCGGATGCTGAAAGATTTCGTGAACCTGAAGCCTGGTGACACCATCATACAAAACGGTGCCAACTCGGCTGTGGGCAGGGCTGTGATACAAGTATACCTTGCTTACCATTATTATTTCTTTATCATTTTCTTATCGCGGTTGTGTTCAGATATGCCGCCTACGAGGCATTAAATCGGTGAATGTCATTCGCAACCGAGAAAATCTCTCAGAACTCATCAACGATTTAAAGGCTTTAGGTGCTAACGAAGTAATTACTGATGAACAACTTGCTAAGGAATACCGGTAAGAACTCATTGCATTCTTACAGTATTAGACAAACTAGAATGAGATACTTCAGTGGCAAGATCAAGGATGTACGTTTGGCGCTGAATTGTGTCGCTGGCAGGTCAGCTTTGCTCCTTGCTAGTACGCTTGGATTTCGTGGGTGTATGGTTACTTACGGAGGCATGAGCAGAAAGCCGTCAGAGGTAGGGGTACCATCGGTAAATCGTAGAGGTGAGGTTTTTGTGCGTGTTTTTAACGTCTCACTTTTTCAAGGTACCTACTGGTCCACTTATTTTCAAAGATATTCGCTTGGCAGGATTCTGGCTTCCCCGATGGTATCAGGAACATAGTAGTACTGAGGTTGTTGATTATTTTATGTATTGGTTTTCCATATCAGAACTGATAGTTTCGTACATTTCATAGACTAAGTGGAATTTTTTTGACAGGAGCGGAAGCAAATGATCACTGAGCTAAGTGGATGGATAAAATCTGGTGAACTACGCTCGGCCTCATTTGAGAAACGGTCGATTGATGATCATGCCGCCGCTCTCGAAGCCGCTGCTGTAAAGTTCGACAAAAAGCAGCTTTTTGTTTTCTAAGTCACAGNNNATAGCTTTAATATAGTTATATCTCAACATGAAAATAAGGGTGTTTCATCGGTGCAATCAGTCAGTGTGCATAGTTCAATTGTATTGAGGTGCTATAGTGGTAAATTGCTTTAATAAATGATGCGTGATGAGGCTAGTATAAATTTAAATATCTGCACTTCAAGTCAGAACACATATTTTGTTTGCAGCCATAGCTTTTACCTTGGTGGTCCTACAGTTACTTTTCTCAAATTACTTCCCAAGTTGTGCTAGAGAGATGCGCCCAGACAATTTCTTAGCAATACCTTCCTAACAATAAGTCGTCTAGGGTAGGGATAGTCCATTGGGCCTTACGGTCACTCTTATGCTAGTAGCACTTGCAGTCCGGTCTGACGGAATAAGTTTCGCAGCGCCCAAAACATGGCAATGTCGGTTACCCATGACAGTGAATCCGACGTCCTCCGCAGCAGAGGAGAGTATAGGCATCCTTTGAAGATCAAGCTCATAACCATTGTGCAGCTAATGGGGTAAGGCTTCTTTTGGGACATTTTTGGCTGTTTTGAACACCAGATTGCAACTACATAACAAGTTCGGACTCAATGTTCAGGTGCTCAGGGATGTACTCGGTACGTATGATCTTCTGACCAATTTGAGTCTGCACCTTGTGGTACGTTCCTTACGAAATTTAAATGACATTTTACTCAACCACCAACTTCTACCTCTAATCTAAGTTCTGGAAGTTGAGCAGTGTAAGCGAAACTCTAAAAGACCCGAATCATGTAGAGTGTTTTTACCGTTTCATTTCTTTTTCAATAAAAAGAGATCGTTCTCAATGCTATCTTTTTTGTGGAAATAAGTGTGAGATTAATCAGTGAAGAGGCAAAAAATCGGAGAAAAAAGATAAAAGTTGAGATAGACGGGTGGTTAAGAATACGGTAATCGGCATACCGTCCGTTAAATGGGTTGCGTTGTTGAGTGCAGAATTTTTTAAACTCCAAAGCTTTTTGATATAACCAGCAGCAAAAGTTTTTCTTAGAAATCTAGGAAAACGGAGAATTTCATCTTGGACTCTACAATGGTTAAAATTGTATGAAAAGAGCATTACGTCGATTATTGTTGCTTACATAAAACAAACATAGTTGATCTTAGTGTAAAACATTTCTGTAGATGCTAAACTACAGATCACCACAGAGAAAAGGCTAGTTTTCTTGACCCAAAATCAGCAATCTTTCGAGAGCAAAGGTGGTTCGGTAGGAAGACGTGACAAAAATCAGGCTCTATGGTCACAGTTTATTCTCTACAATTACTTCGTTTGATTAAAGTTGATTGAATTCATCGAGTGAACAAATTTAGATCTAGAAGAGATGGTTACTATTTTAGTTTGAAGGGAAAAGAAGCAAACTCCGAACGGAATCAAGATTGACGAAGGAGAAGGGGGAAGGAAACTGGATTCTTCTACATAAACAAACTGGTCGATATCTGGTAGTGATATAACATAATCGATTGACCATAGTTTTTTGTTTTGATTTAGAAAAAGTTTTTGTCTGCTCTCAAAAGAGGACGTTGTTATTCAAGGAACACAAACCAAAGTATACTTACAATCTACGGACATTGTTTTTTTTTGCTTATCAATCAATTTCCATGTCACGCCTGAACTGCTTTATCGATTGTTTCCCTTTGTTTGTATCACAAATAAAATTTTCACATTTTTCAAACTGAGAAAGCATGGAAGATTGACATTTCCCGTGGTGCCTAAAGTTATTTTTTATGTCGTTATGTGTGCTACTTTGCTAATTTTCTCAGAAGTTCAACACAATCAGCGTAAACAGGCAAACAGATGTTGGCTTTTCGCAATGGAATGCTTTTCGCACGTCGAATTTGCGCTAAACAGTTGGTCTACTCTGAATATGGGGATCCTGCCAAGGTCACTTGCTTTTCGACCTATATATCGTATTTTCCAAAAAGGAGTCAGATTAAGTTTTAACTAACTCAGATTGTGAAGTTGCAAACTGTTGATCTACCAGACACACCACCTGCTGGTTATGTTCACGTCAAATGGCTTGCAGCACCGATTAATCCAGCTGATTTGAATATGATTCAAGGTGTTTATCCTATAAAACCACCTCTCCCTGCAGTAGGAGGTAACGAAGGCTATGGTCGGGTGGAGAAGGTATGCAGCATTATTGCCTGAGAACGTTTTACGAAGTAAACCCCTTGAACATATCTTTAAAGCTTGTTCTTCTTCCCTTATGTTACAGCTACTACTGCATTTTGCGGGGCGGCTTTCACTTCGACATCCTTTATTTGTATTAGAACTTGTTAGTACAAAGAATGTTTTTGACATTATTTATAACGTTGGAATGTGTTTCCTACAGTCTCAGCATCGTTTAAAGTGCGCTTTTGCCTCAGAATAAGGGTCTTTTTTTCAGATTGGTGCTGGTGTTAAAAACGTCCAAGTTGGTGATCACGTTTTACCAGCAAAAGCTGGCCAAGGAATATGGAGAAGCGATGGTCATCACAAAGAAGACGAAGTCTTTCCGATAGATAAGGATTTACCACAGGAAGCTAGTGCAACTCTACAGGTTAGACAGGACTCCGGAGCTTTGTGAGAAGGAATTCCCAAGAAATCAAACGCTTGATTTAGGTCAACCCTCCGACCGCTTATCGGATGTTGAAAGATTTCGTGGATCTAAAGCCCGGTGATACTATCATTCAGAACGGTGCCAATTCTGCTGTAGGAAAATCTGCGATTCAGGTACATTTTCGCTCACCTGCATTGTTTTTATTTCTCTCCTCTTATATGAACTGATGTTCAGATATGCCGCTTGCGAGGCATTCGTTCAGTGAACGTTGTTCGCAAAAGGGAGAACCTTTCAGATCTCGTCAAAGAGTTAAAGGCATTGGGTGCTGATGAAGTGATCACTGATGAACAACTAGCCAAGGAATACCGGTAACAATTCAGTCTTAACCGGGTTCAATAATATTGCACGACTTTGTAGTGGCAAATTCAAAGATGTACGTTTGGCGCTAAATTGTGTAGGCGGTAAATCAGCCCTACTGCTTGCCACCACACTTGGTTTCCAAGGTTGTATGGTAACATACGGAGGAATGAGTAAAATGCCGTTGCAGGCAAGTTTTTTCCTTGCATAGCTGTTCATGACTTTATTCACGATGATAGTTATTTTTACTGTCTCGCTTCTTTTCAGATTCCAACAGGGCCACTCATTTTCAAAGACATTCGTTTAGCAGGGTACTGGATGTCGCGGTGGTATGAGCAACCTGGCAACACTGAGGTTGTTAATAGACATTTTTTATTCATCCTTTTATTTTGATGTAATTGATTTTCCCATTATCCTGAACAACGAGCTTTTTCTGTCCGAAATGATTAATTGCTGCTTTTATTTAGGAACGTAAACGCATGTACGCCGAGTTGGGTGCATGGATGAAATCTGGAGAATTTCGTACTCCCTCATTCGAAAAACGACGTCTCGAAGATCACGCCGCGGCTCTTGAAGCGGCTTCTACACAATTTAATAAAAAGCAGTTGTTCATTCTTTAACTTATAGGTTCCATATTCATTGATGTAATTAGGTTATATAAAGTTTCTACTGAATTGTTGGCGAAAGATTGAAGTACCGTTTTAAGTCGGAACGTACATACNTACATACGTTTTGTTGCTGCCATTGTATATGGTTTATCCTGTTTACGCGTTTTTTCGTTGTTTGCTATGGTACTTTTTTGTGTTGTGTCCTTCTCCGTGTCTGTGAAAGTCCTATGGGTAGAGGTTCGTGAGGTGGTGCAAAAAGTAATGTGGACACGGCTCTATTCATGGGCTTCTTCGATTGCAGCTTGAGGTGTTACAATGGCTCTCGTGGGTGATGTGGAACTGCGAAGTGTTGTACGTGTGGAGCGAATCGGGGCTCACTCTCACATAAGAGGTCTTGGAGTGGGTCCAAATCTCGACCCTCAAGACACTGCGGATGGCATGGTTGGACAGTTTCAAGCGCGAAAAGCTGCTGCTATCGTTGTAAAGATGGTACAGGTTTGTTTTTGTTTTTTTATTCCTTGTTTACTAGTACTGCTTTTCCTTCTCTTGTAGGCAAACGCGTGAGGGTCAATTTTCAGAGCGGCAACATTGCTGGAAGAGGAGTGCTAATACATGGTCAGCGAGGAACAGGGAAAACTGCTATAGCCATGGGTATTGCAAAAGCGCTTGGGAAGGATACTCCATTCGTGTCCATTTCCGCTTCCGAAATTTTCTCGGTTGATATGAACAAGAGCGAAGCGTTAATGCAAGCTCTACGTAAAGCAATAGGGGTACGCATCAAGGAAGAGACCGAGGTTAGTTTTACAAACTACTTTGGTATTTCACTCCATCGCCATTCCCAGTTTTTTTTACCCTTTAGGTTCTCGAAGGTGAAGTTGTTTCTGTGGAGATGGACAGACCTGCCAGCGGTGTCGGTCCGAAGGTATGGTTTCTGCAGTCATGTGAGCTTGACATGGTTTCTTATACCTCTCAAAGATGAGTTCTTCAGGTTGGGAAGCTTTCATTGAAAACAACGGATATGGAGACAATATACGATCTTGGTAGTAAGATGGTTGATCAATGTATCAAGGAGAGAATCTGTGCTGGGGATGTTATTCAGATCGACAAAAGTTCAGGTAATCTCACTCTGTAACTCTTTTTAAGGTAAATGTGAAAAATAACAGTAATCTCATTAGGACGAGTAACTCGAATTGGTCGATCGGCAACGCGGTCGCATGACTATGATGCAATGGGACCGCAGACGAAATTCGTACCTTGTCCGCGAGGCGAAATCCAGACAACAAGGTAAACCTTGCATGACTTCTCTGGATGTATCACATTCAATATTTGATTGTTTTTTTTAGAGAAACCGTTCACACTGTCTGTCTGCATGAAATTGATGTCATAAACTCTCGCAGCCAAGGATTTCTAGCATTGTTCACTGGAGATACAGGAGAGATTAAGAGTGAAGTCCGTGAGCAAATCAACAAGAAGGTATGTTCAAGCGATGACTGGATAGATTTTGTTGAGATCATCTTCATAAGACGGCAAAAAATTTTGCGCATAGCGATACGTTGCTTTTCTCAGCTGTGCACCCTTGCATTTATTTCATGGAGCTTCGCTTAAGAATTTCTTAAACATTCTATAACGAGCTTATCATATGTGGGCGCGGTCTTCTTTTGCACCTCTGTAAAAGATCGGATCTTGCCAGTATGGGAATCTGCAACCTTCTAGCCCCTCAGAAAAACTTTGAACCTTTTGGAGGTTTCCATTTACTGAATTTCTGATGTGGTGAAGAGTTAACCTGGGTATATGGAAGAATGTTCAAACCTTTCCCGCGAGCTCCTATTCATTGTATTTTTTCAGGTTGCAGAATGGAGAGAGGAAGGCAAAGCAGCCATCCAGCCCGGTGTCCTTTTCATCGACGAAGCTCATTTGTTGGACCTGGAATGCTTTTCTTTCCTGAATCGTGCTATGGAATCCGATCTCAGTCCTTTGCTTATAATGGCGACGAACAAGTACGTTCAAAATCATACGTAACTTTAGCGACTCTGGACGACTCTAATCCGAGCATTTACTGTCTTATAATTCACATTTCTTCAGGGAACGGGGCAAGGTTCGTGGAACCGACGTGATTGCCAACTATTGCCTTCCACCTGATATTGTTGATCGCCTCATTGGAATTCCAACAAAGCCGTACACTCCCGATGAAATTGGACGCATTCTGAGTTTGAGAGCTGATGAGGAAAACGTGAGGTCGGTGGTTGCAGAACTTCAGGAGCAGTTGTCGGTTCTTTCACTGTGGTATTCAGGATGGAGGCTAGTGCACTAACTCTGCTGAAAATGCTAGTGGCCGAGACATCGATGCGGTATGCCATGCAGATAATCGCTTTAGCGGATTGCCTTAGGGAGCGCAAGAAAAAGCCAATGGTGAGTGCCACGCGTGAAAGGAAACTCTTATCTAAGAAAAACTGATTCACTGGAGAGTATTCTTATCTGGCAGTAATTGTAGGTGACAAAAGAAGACGTCGGCGAAGCGTACAAAATGTTCTACGACACCAAAAGAAGTGAGCAGTACCTGAAGCAGAACTCGAGCAAGTTTTTGTTGTAAGATGTATACTCTTTGTGTAGTTTACACGGTTTTCATTGATACTCATTTTTAAGCTTCTCCGTTACTTTGTTATTGTTATGATGATTTTGTGATGTATGAAGAATTGATGTTAAGTTGCCTTTTGTACCACGGTATCAAGAAAAACACATTTACAGGAATAACAAATTCACAAGAAAACAGCGGAATATCAACAAACTGAAATACTCAGTCGCATATTTTTGAAACAATCAGAAAAACCTATTCAAAGTAGTTTGCCCTCATGAGTAGACAAAATTGATTTGGTGGCTTTCTAGGGCTTCGTCAGCTTGAATGTTTCGAGGGCATTTCGGGTGCGAATGCGTAACGCATGATTAGCAAGTCTGAGACGTAACAGCTCATTTTTCATCTTTGTGTACTCATCCTTCATTGATATCCTGAAAACCACTGATTAGAGGTGTTCTTCGAAAATGATTGAAAACTTACATGAGAGAGCGTCGAGTTTCGTGGAGCAGTCCTTCGTAGCCTGTCGCTTCTAACTCGGCCGAGAGGTGCTCGATTTCAGTTCGTAATTCAGCGACTTGAGAAGTCAGTAGGTTAACTGAACAATCACTTGGGCTGTTAAAATTTCTGGTGCGAGGTATTTAGCAAAAAAAAATTTCCTGCGCCTAAATTCCTAATTATCCATCTCTAGTTTGATAGTCTTGAAAAAGAATGTACACGTGTCCGAAACGATACCTTGCTCTTCTAGCGCAACACGCTCGTTTGTTAAAGCTTCTCGTTGCGATAGCCGAGATACAGTATGCTAGAAAATTATTATTGTATGATCCAGAAGCCTCCACAATGGGATTTTCCACGTATGCTCATCAACATACACCAAGGATGAAAATAATTCCATTCTTCCT